GGTATTTAATATTTTATAACAGTAAATTCCCTTTTTTCAATCAAAATATTCGAAATTACCACCAAACATACTGAATTGCACACAAAATTTGCTCATTAAATAAATCAATTATACTATACTGTTAGATATTTAAAGCTTAACTGTTTTACTGAATGACTATCTTTTAACTATAAGTAAATCTAATAATTCTTCGAATGCAACAAAATACATATATAAAAACAACAAAAAAAAAACAAACCTAACCTAACCTAATATTGAACAATTAGTGTGCAAATCAGTATTTTTGTTTTACGGTTCATTTTTTTTATATGCAGGCAGTAGGGTATTAGTGGAAAAATTTAGGGGTGAATAGGAATCGAGAGAAGTACAGAGACCAAAGAGGCGTGAATGGGTAGGTACCTACTGGGATATGTTTCATAGTACATATTTATCAGCTCACCCCTCGTCTGTATTCATTGCTTACATTTCTAAATACAGGTGCAGTAAAAAAATCCCCCAATTTAAATAAGTAGGTATTAAGAATAATATTGTTGTATGTTTATTGTTGAATCGTTAAGATCAAAGTTCAATTAAATTAATCGCAGAACTATCTAGAAATAAAATATCAGGTTTATTTTTTACAATTCAACCTTTAACTGGTCTTAACGGAAGATATTTTCACTCGGGTCAAAAGATAGCTTGCAACTTATAATTATATATACAAGGTGTAGTTATTACTGCACGGTTGGTGCGGTGGCTGGGCAACCGGCTGCCGTGCAACGTGCATCGATTCCCGTACGGAACAACACTTTGTGTGATCCACAAATTGTTGTTTCGGGTCTGGGTGTCATTTTGTATGTGAACTTGTATGTTTGTAAACGACACAGAAGAAAATCTTAATTTGGGGCAACGTATATTAAAAAAAAAGTAGTTTTGAAGCCGTGTTATTTCTCGGGGGCATCAGAATCAGAATCAGAATTGAAATCTGATTGACAGAAGTCATAAAGGTTCAATGTAAGAGAAAGTTTCGGGCCAATAGTTAAAAATACGGCTAAAATAAATCGTTTAAGTTCGACAGTATTTCAGAATTAGCGACAGCAATGTTTCTTATTGGAGTTTTTTGGAATTAGGAATAATACCTATCAATTAGGTGTTTGAGTTTGTGTATGTTAAGCCGCATTATAAAGCTAGTTACAAGACGGCGGCGTGTAGTTCGCACTTACGAATTTCCGTAATTTACAGAAAAATGAAAAATATTTACCTAAAATTTTTTATTGATTCGGTCACAGAATCGATAGCCGAGTTACCTCCTAGAAATGACGCGGCTTTAAAACAACACCTTGTATATATAGTAGATCACCTTCGATTGGTCAAAATTAATTCCTGCTTTCATATGTAGACATTTCTTTACGTGTAGATTAATTCATTTCTTTATGGAAATGTCTAGAAATATTTTGTAACTAAATACATCGTAAAATGTATTTCGTTTTCGATCAGCGGCAAAGCTACTTGCCATAAGGAATACTGTCGATGTATAAAGTATAAACAATAAAATATAAAGATGTCATAACTGCCTCGTTGGCCGAGTAATCGCAAGTGCCACTGGTGGGCAAGGGGTCTCGGGTTCGATTCCCCGGCCGGGCAAAGTATTACTAGGTTTTGTAAAATAATCTCAGTAATAGCACGGAGTCTGGTATTGTGCCCGGTATATGGCAATAGGCTCACCCCCTATTACATGGGACCTCAGAACATAAAGTAGTGAAAAGTGGGTGTTACATTGTACAGTGGCATTAAGTGCCGTAATATACACCTCTGCCTACCCCACGGGAATAAAAGGCGTGTTATTATGCTATGTTAGGTTATAAAGATGTCATTTTTTTCATAGAAATGAAACGCTCTATTCGCATCGCACGTGCCACCCGACGAGGGTATTCCTTCTCTTCGAGAATCTGATTTTTATTTCGTTTGACCTGACTTTTTTTGGCGGAGGAAAATCATCCATTGATTTCCCTCGCCTGGGTAAGGCGAGAGGGAGTGTCAAACTCTTACTGACTAAAAAAAATCCCGTTCCCGAATACATTTTTTTTAAAAAACGTTGCCCCACACTAGGATTTTCTCCTGTGCCGTGGGTGCGTTTACGAACATACAAGTTCACATACACATCACACCCAGACCCGGAACAACAATCTGTGGATCACACAAAGAATTGTTCCGTGCGGGAATCGAACCCGCGACAAACGTGTCGCGGGTACGATTCCCGCGCGCAACTGACTGCCGCGCAACGGCGCGGCAGACCCAGACGTATATTTGAACAATGTGACATTTAACTATCTAGACTACATCTAAAAATGTAAATAATTGACTTGTATGTCATATTTATATGAAGCAGGAATTATACCAATTCGTATAATTATGTATTCCGCATTGCTATAGCAAGCGTAGCTAGATCACTAGAAACTATTAAGTATTATGGCAATTATGTATTTGCAAAAATAATTGGTGTGTTTCATTTCCGCGACTAAATTACTAGGCTGTTTTTGATAGAGTTCTGTACTAATATAGATGGCATTTTTAAGGTTTTTTAGGCTTTGTTCTATAAAAAAAAAAAATGGTATAATATGCGAAGATATCCTTTGTATTTTGTGTTAGGTTTTTTTTTGTTGTTCCTCATATTAAGCATAATCTCCATACTTGGCAAACAGGTTGGTGATTTCAGTTAAAAAGGAGTGGAATTCTTTCAGTTGAACACTATCTCGTCTGGTGATAAGCGATGATGCGGTCTGCGATGGAGCACGTCGTCCCATAAGTAACCTATTCACTCGGGCCTTGAAGACTCCCACGCTTCAGGGAATACAGACTCTGGCAAAGAATTCCACTCCAAGGAAGCTTGATGCGAAGCGCGCAGTTAAAAAGGTTCACGGTTATCAATGAGCACTGCTGATCTGCTATGTCAGATATTTTTTTAAACGTTGTCCCACTTTAGGATTTTCTTGAACTTTTGTTCTTCGTGGAAATCGAATTCGGAACCTCATGCAAAACAGTCGTAAAGTCCAACTAGGTATTAATTTCACAAATTCAAGGCGAAAAAACACATCTGTCATCAATTTCGTAGAAATAAACACATACACGACTGACACATAACCTAATTATTCCAAACTCGGATAAAGGTATCAGCCTAAAGCGGCCGGAATTAGGCCACGACCTTTATTATTGACATAACATTTGTACATTGTTTGTTTTTGATATCACGGAATTAGGGCAGCGCTTATTTGAATTGCTTAATTCTTTAGATAGGCACTTAATAAATCGGACTTAAAAGTAGAATATATTTTCACCATCACTGCTCTTCGCGTGGGTGTCTTATCCCCGACTAAGGGAGTATAAATAATTATCTTCTTCTGCACGATTATGCGGTGAATGGGCAAGCGGCTGCCGCGCAACGTGTAGCGCTTTCGATTCCCGCACGGAGCAACTCTTTGTGTGATCCACAACTTTGTTCCGAGTATGTGAACTTGTATGTTTGTAAACGCACCCACGACACAGGAGACAATCTTAGTGTCGGGCAATTTCGGAGTCGCGGAGAACCTAACGGGTAACCGGGGCTCCGGCTCGACGTGCAGGAGAAGAAACGGGGTGGTTTTTAGTCAGTAAGAGTCTGACACTCCCTCCCGCCTCACCCAGGCGGGAGCAGACATTCGATGATATTCCCTCCTTAAAAAAAAAGTGTGGGGCAATGTATTTAAAAAAAACATGAATCACTACGAATGCTTACTCAAGGCTGAGTACCGTTTATTTCTTTGTTACTATAGTATCTTCTAGAAATACCTAAACTTATACCGTTTCTATTCATAAAATAAGTAATTTTCTATTTTCGTTCGACCTTGAAATTAAATAAAAATATTTAATGAAATTACTTATAGATACTAAACTGGTTTAGCAATGAGTTTATCTACTTGTTTCTCGTCATCAACAGCCTATAAATGCCCACTGCTGAGCAAAGCCTCTTCTCACATGGAGAACGTTTGAGCATTAATCACCACGCTTGCTCAATGCGGGTATTACAAGCTTATAATTAGAAATTATAAGTCCAGGTTTCCACACGACATTTTCCTTCACCGTTTGTCAGTGGTGTCTAGATAAGCTTAGAAAGTACATATAACTCGGAAAAAGTCACATTGGTACTTGCTGTTGGTAGGTTTCGGACCCATACTCTCTTGTATGAGAAGCGGGCGTGTTAACCCTCGGGCCACCACGACATACAAATCCGAACTGTACGGGATCATTTGGGCTCCAATGTGTGAGCGTTAACACTGCCGATATTAATTTACTATATCTACGCAGTAACCTATTTATATATTATTATTTATTTAAAATACATAGATCACCATGATTAATTAGAATTATATTATATTTTAGTTTATTGCATGTTTTATAGAATTAGATCGTAAACCGGTTTTAATATTGTTTAATCATTATTTTGTACCTCTAATTTTGTACTACTAATCGTTATTTTTCATATGTCAAGGTCTGGGTGAGACTTTGAACCGGGAAATCAAGTTTTATGAACGTCATTCCCCGAAAACCTACTAAAGAGTAATGACCTTTCACAAGGAAAGATTAAGTTTAGGATTTTTAAGGTATACGCCGGTAAACGAGCAGACAGATCACCTGATGGTATGCAATTGGCTTCGCCCATGGACAACTGAAACACCAGAGGCTTTACAAGTGCGTTACCGGCCTTTTGGGGATTTGGATTTTGAGGATTGTTAGGGATTCTGGGATTGGGGACGTAATTGGGCGATCCGATAACTTTACTCACACAAAGGAACATAACGCAAGCGTTGTTTCACGTCGGTCTTCTGTGTGTAAATAGTTTTCGTTGCGTGTAGATGGCGTTGTAGTAGTTTTAAAGCACGCTATCTTTAATAAGATATTAAATTAAAGATACTGATTTTACTTTACTCTCACAAATAAATATGTATTGGTAAATAGATAATGATAGAATGTCTATTCATTTTCTGATGTCTAACTCTTACGTGAGAAAATTGCAGGTTATTTGCATGCAGCAAGATATGAAATTGATCGAGATTAAATGCCGTGAGTGAAAATAAATAATAGGATAAGCTTTCTTTTTTCTTTATCTGGATATCTGCATGAGCTGCTGTTTACATGTGAACATTAGCTCATGACGATACCTAAGTACGTGTGTCGCCTGGACAGTCAACCTCGCTACATCCTTGTTGACTGGACATCTACACTACATGAGCTGCTGTTTTCATGTGAACATTAGCTCATGACGATACCTAAGTACGTGTGTCGCCTGGACAGTCAACCTCGCTACATCCTTGTTACAACCATAATTTGGTACTTTTGAAACGTCAACAAATACAAAATAAATAATAATCTGTCAGTCAGTCCATCAGTGAAGCTAGGTGAAGCTAGGTGCTCATTCCAAAATGTAGATTCGAATGGAGAAGAACGAGCAAGAAACTCCATTCGTTAGTCTTTTTAAAAAGTATGTTCTACAATGTCTCTGATACATATTAATTTGGTAACTTATAGTTGAGCCTTTATCGATACATTCATTGTCCAACAAAACCTGCTCTACTCGTATCCTTTTAGTCGATGTATATTAATTTGGTAACTTATAGTTGAGCCTTCTTCGATAAATTCAGTGTCCAACAGAAAAATAATATTGAAATCGAACCAGCAGTTTCTGAGATTCGCGCATTCAAACAAACAAACTCTTTAGCTTTATGTAATACTAGCGACCTGCCCTGGCTTCGCACGTATCTTATGCATGTATTTTACATCGAAACCTTCCTTATGAATCACTCTATCTATTAAAAAAAACCGCATCAAAATCCGTTGCGTAGTTTTAAAGATCTAAGCATACATAGGGACAGACGGCGCATAGCGACTAAGTTTTATACTATGTAGTGAAGATTTGGCCAACACTATTATTTATTTAATAAGAAACTAATGTACTACAGTAACCGGGGACTGTCCTTAGGTGCATTTCCATAGTGCATACAGGGATAGTCGCCGGTTTGTGTCTCCATTACATTTATATTAAAGTTGTCTAAAGGGCCTCTGCGCAGTTGGCTTCGGGCCCTCGTACGCCTCCTAAATGACCGGGACCCTATGGTCCCGTGAATGGTAAATACATACATATATCATAATAATTGTTATACAATAATTATGTTATGAAATACATGAAATGATAAGATAAAACAATAGTTATCTACATTATTTCCTTGTAAATAATTAACCGTAGAAAATTAAACGTCTAATTTATTATTTTAATTAGGTTAGTATACTATAGCAGTGCAAAGTTAATACATTTATTGTTTACTGACCACCGCTACTCTTCACGTGGGTGTCATGTACCCGACTCAAAGTTAACATATTATATTACAGAGGGCGGGCAATAGCACTCTCTGATAAACCCTAACCCTTTTAATTGCGGTATTTAACCCAATTGGGTACTTGCCAACTAGTGAAATTCAATACTTTTTTGCGAACTTGGCAAAAACGACAGTTTTCTATTAATTTTGTACGAGATTGTGTATTGAGACGTCACGTTTTTTTAGTGTCAAACCGCATATCTACATATTTCTTAAAAAATACCTGGAAAGATACTAAAATTAAGTTGGTCATAAAATCATTTAATAGAAGTGTGATGTGATTACATACTTTGTAATATTTTATTATATTGAACAGTCGAAATAATTCATTTTTGATTAAGGAAAGTACCTACCCAATTCTGACGATGACGGCAAACATCTTATGCAGAAGTCATAGTCCAATAGTGAACAGTTCTTGATATTTGATTTTGACTTTGACAATGAAGAACTGCACCTGCACACACACTGCCTACCCCGTTTAGAGGTCAAAATACGATTTACATAATCTCAATATAATATAAAGAAGGTCCAAGATAGTTCAAGGTCATTAAAAACGTTTATAAATTCAAAAATCTTATTTGTTTAGTCGCACTATTCTCTAAAACTGCTGGTCTGTATTTGAATAATTCTTTTTTTGCAGCTGACAGCCGTTCTATTGTTTTGGAAGGTTATGTAACATATGTACATCGTCGTAGTAGTCCGAAGGTTAAAGACACCCGCTTCTCATGTATGAGGGTACGGGTTCGAAACCTACCAACGGCAAGTATCAATGTGACTTGTTCGAGTTATATGTACTTTCTAAGATTATTCAGACACCACTGACAAACGGTGAACGAAAACATCGTGAGGAAACCTGTGCTTATAATTTGTAATTATAAGATTGAAATCGCAAACTCGCATGGAGGAAGCGTGGTGATTAATGCTCAAACCTTCTCCGTGTGAGAAGGGGCTTTGCTCAGCAGTGGGCATTTATAGGCTGTTGATGATGTCATATGCATAACATAATGTTTTGCCTTTAAACCGCTAAGGGGTAGACAGAGGCGCACGATTGCACCATAATTATACACTTGAACTTGGGACCAAAGATAAGGAGACCCTAAGCGTATTTTTCTTTTCATTGTTTGATTAAACTGACTGCCTCATTGGCCGAGTGGTCGCAAGTGCGACTGCCGTCGCGGAGAACCTAACGGGTAACCGGGGCTCCGGCTTGACGTGCAGGAGAAGGAACGGGGTGGTTTTTAGTCAGTAAGAGACTGACACTCCCTCCCGCCTCACCCAGGCGGGAGCAGTCATTCGATGATTTTCCCCCCTTAAAAAAAAAAAAGTGCGACTGCCGGGCAAGGGGTCTCGGATTCGATTCCCGGGTCGGGCAAAGCATTACTGGGTTTTTTAAATACCTAGTAGTAGCACGGAGACTGTAATAGTGCCCGGTATATGGCAATAGACTCACTAATATTACATGGGACTCATAACATAAATAGTGAAAAGTGGGTGTTACATTGTACAGTGGCATTAAGTGCCGTAATATGCACCCCTTCGGGGAAGAAAAGCGTTATGTAATGTTATGTTATGTTTGTTTAAAAAAATAAAACGTTCTTAAATTAATCCGATACCGTAAAACGGGGTGAATAGAATTCGAGGCGTGAATAGATACAGAAGAGGGGTGAATAGATGTTGGGAAAATATTCAAACATTTATTTACCCCATTCCTGTATCTATTCAGCCCGTTTTACTGTACTTTTAAACTACGTTCCCAACTCGCCTACCTGACGAAGCTCAAAGTCCATCTCTGTTCATAAGCTGTTGATAACTCTTTAAACCATAAATTTATTTCGAATATAAAATAGATTCTTTGTGACGTCTACCTCAGAGACACATAACATAATTATAACCTGCTTTGGGTGAATGACCTTCGATAGTACATAGCTATTAAATTTAAATTAAAACAAGTATAATGAATAGTTAAATAACTATGATTGAATAATTATCAATCATAATTATTGAATAGTGCGTAAATTTTTGGCCAAGGTGAAATAAGACTATCTATAACAGTAGGGATGTTATGATTGATTTATCGGGTCTAGATACGGTAACGTATAAGGCAATAATTGCTTCAGATTTCGATATAACATTATTATACAATCGATTATTTTCACCAACAGATATTAGTTTTATGACAAATCGTAGTAAAATTATAAATCTAGATAAGATTGTCTAATGCCCCTTCACACTGACCTATCTCTACTTCTAAAGCAGCCCTAAGCTTGGATAAGTGACTCTGGCCCAAAGAGCAGGAGTAGGAACGGGGTGGTTTTTAGTCAGTAAGACTCTGACACTCCCTCTCGCCTAACCCAAGGCGGGAGAAGTGACTGAATGTTTTCCCTCCTCAAAAGGTAGGTTAAGTGATACTGAACGCACGCGTTTTCCCCAACCTAGTAACTGACACCTAATGGTAAAATTAACGGGTTAGTTTAAGTGCTCCCTTCAGCTAAGTAACTCTTAGTTTAAATTGGTGACTGCCATAAGACTATTGTCACTCTAAAACAAAACCAAAGAAAGAAAAAAATGTTTTTTTAATGTTGTTACTGCAATCGGTTTTAGATACAACTAATTGTATCAAATATCTGATATATTTCGGTTCCAGCATTCCAGTTACGGAGCTCTTTAACATCTCTACTCCATAATATTATCTATAATATCAACATTGCATTAATGAATATCACATTCATGTACACACGGCTACACATCGAGCTTTACATAACCAGTATAAACTGAACGTTAAATGTGCGGAAAGATAATGCGACGCGACACCAGGATAAACTGGTTTTGTATAGATTGATGTGTGGCCGTGTGTACTTACCATTGCTTCATATGAAGCCAGTTATGTTGCAAACTATGTATTAAAGTTAAATACCTCGTTGGTGAATTGGTCTCAAGAACGACTGTCAAGCTAGAGGTGTCTGTTTCACTTCTAAGGTTGGACAAATAAATTTTCTAAAAGTACAATATACTTAATGTAATAATTTTTTATGTACCTATCCGGTAAACGAGCAGACGGGTTACCTGATGGTAAAGTATCGGCGTCGCCCATGGACACCTGGAACACCGGAGGCGTTACAAATGCGTTACCGGCCTTTTGGGGATTAGGAGTTTGAGGATCGTTGGAGATTTAGGAATGGGGGAGATTGGGGAAGGGGAGGGTAATTAAATCGTTGCTTCACGTCGGTTTCCTGCTCGGCCGTGGTATCACTCCAGTCAAGCCGGCTCATTCGTGACGAAGTATAGCTCTCCTACATATAAAATTAATGTCTCATCTTTCAAATATGTCACACTCAAATTTCTCCAATTACGCTATGCCTATGTAACAGACATGATTTATAGCCGATTAGCTGAATATATAATACTTATGTAACATATAGCCAATAGACACGGACCTTAAGGCCTTCATGCGAATTTTCAAGGTTCGAAAACCTTGACTTTAATAGATTGTACGAATTTTTGATGAGTCAAAGTATGAATGGTTTTGACCATTCAATAATTATGGTAATGCATATAATATTAGATCAGTGATATTATACAAACATAGGTATTTTTTTAAGGGGTAAAATCATCGAATGTCTTGTCTTGGCTCCCGCCTGGGTGAGGCGGGAGGGAGTGTCAGACTCTTACTGACTAAAAACCACCCCGTTCCTTCTCCTGCACGTCGAGCCGGAGCCCCGGTTACCCGTTAGGTTCTCCGTGACTCCGAATCGGCATCTGCCCACAAACATAGGTATATGAGTAAGTAAGTGTGGGAGAATGCTTTGGCACGAATGGGTCGGCTCGACCAGAGTGATACCACGGCCTCACAGAAAACCGACGTGAAGCAACGATTTACTTACCCTCCCCTTCCCGAATCTCCCCAATTCCTAAATCCCCAACGATCCTCAAACTCCTAATCCCCAAAAGGCCGGTAACGCACTTGTAACGCCTCCGTTGTTCCAGGTGTCCATGGGCGACGCCGATTGCTTACCATCAGGTGATTCGTCTGCTGGTTTACCGGTTGTGCTATAAAAAAAATGTAATTTTTTATTACTTAGGCTATTATTTTGTGATAAAAAGTAGCCTCTATTATTCCTTAAAAAGTAAGGTTTCCAATAGTGAAAGAATGTTTCAAATCGGTCCAGTGGTTTTGAAGGTTTTTCTATTTAAACAAGCAGAATAGTTTTGATTAAACAGCTGATCAATAATCGAAATATTTAAGAACTTTATCCGAGGTCATCCGAGAAAATAAAATCATCTTTCGAGAATATATTTTGTGACACAAAAAAATCTAACATTACATCATACAATCTATCGGGGTACGCAGAAGTGCACATTACGGCGCTTAATGCCACTGTACAATGTAACACCCACTTTTCACTATTTATGTTATGAGTCCCATGTAATAGGGGATGAGCCTATTGCCATATACCGGGCACAATTCCATACTTCGTGCTACTACTGAGATTTTATTTAAAAAAAACCCTGTAATAGACTAGACTGCACGGTTGGCGCGGTGGATGAGCAACGTGTCGCGGGTTCGATTCCCGCACGGACCAACACTTTGTGTGATCCACAAATTGTTGTTACGGGTCAGGGTGTCATGTGTATGTGAGCTTGTATGTTTGTAAACGCACCCACGATACAGAAGAAAATCCTAGTTTGGGGCAAAGTTTTATAAAAAAAAATACATAAAAAAAACTTTATTCGATCCGGAAATCGAATCCAAGACCCCTTGCCCCGCAGACGCATTTGCGACCACTCGGCCAACGAGGCAGAGAGCACAGAAGTTAAAAACATTTTTCTAGAATCGTTTTTTTGTGATACAAAAACCAATCTAGTTGTTTATATTTTTCTTATTTGATGACGTAGATACGTATCGATATAGAAGTCATTATCCCTATTAAACATTATGACGTGAAACCTGACTATAATATTTTAAATAACAACTTGGCTTTAATTTTATTGATCATCAATTTCAAATTAAGTTTTTAAGCTGTATCAAATAGGATCCGGACTTATATTTGTGAGCCATATAGGGTGTAGTTAAAATTGATATTTTATCAACAATAACAATATTATCGGTTCAGGATAATCCAGAGCTGAACTATACTATATACTATACATCATCTATTTTTAATTATATAATGTTTTGGCTTACGCTGTAAAATTATGCATGTGTTTATCACTACATTGTATAAAACAAAGTCGCTATCCACCGTCTGTCTATCTCTATGTATGCTTAGATCTTTAAAACTACGCAACGGATTTTGATGTGGTTTTTTTTAATAGATAGAGTGATTCTTAAGAAAGGTTTATTACATGCATATTGCACCCGTGCGAAGCCGAGGCAGGTCGCTAGTAATTAATAAATAACACGGGTCTGACATAATGTCCTCATTTGGAGCGTGTTAGAGATCGATATTTTCATTTTTTGAAATCAATTTTTTATTGGGCCTCATCCGTGGTGGTCTGATGGTTCTTTAAGGCGCGCGCGGAATGCGACGCGCCATACCCTCGGGTCTGGTCCTGGTCCACAGGCCCGCGCATCATGGGTACCTAACAGAATATTTTCACCTATTTGTATTGATGATTTCACTCACTGTTAACCTTTTAAAACGAGTGTAGTATGCGCTAGTTTTAACGCTAAATATCTTGAATTATTGCACCATAAATAAAATAGCTCAGACCTTCGACAGATTTTGGTAGAACTCGTAATGCTAATAGGAAAATGTGTAGACTTGCCACTTTTTAGTATGAACGATTAATTGAGCAACTTTTTGTATGTAATCGTAAGATGTGCTACGTATTTTAATGTGAGTTTAGTTGCTTATTAGTAATATATAAGCTTAAATAGGCATAAATGTGTTTCTTTGTAGAAAGATTTCTATTTATTAGGTAACATATAATATTAGAAATACAGCCTAGCTGACAGATAGCCTCGTTGGCCGAGTGGTCGCAAGTGCGACTTCCAGACAAGATGTCTCGGATTCGACTCCCGGGTTGGGCAAATTATTACTGAGGTTTTTAAACATTCCCAGTACGGAGTTTGAAATTGTGAGGGTTGAATCTATTGCCATATACCGGGCATTACAATACATGGGACTCATAACATAAAAAGTGAAAAGTGGGTGTTACATTGTACAGTGGCATTAAGTGCCGTATTGTGCACCTTTGTCTACCCTTTCGGAGATAAAAGGGGTGATGTTATGTTAGAAATACAGAACTGTCCTTCTCCGGTTGTACCTGTGATCCCTACTCGGTTAAAACGAGTAATGGTGTCTGCTAACTTCCAAACCATCTATGAGCGGCGTTATTATTGTAATTAGAATACACAGCAACTTCAATGAAGTCAATGAAACTCGGCGTGTCAAGGACCACACAAAAGTCGCCGGCGATAGCGACAGAAAAGTGGCTCGTTTGACTAAACAATACAGATTTAAATATTGAATTATTAATACCCAAATGAATGGAGTTCCTAGTTCTAATTGGGTAGATTATAGACCAAGTTTTTATAACAACCTGTGTCTTAGTATTTAAAAGTTAAATATTATAATAATTATTTTATTATATGCAATAGAATATATATTTTCGAGTATCTTATTGCCTTGTTATTCGACAATCGTGAGTTTTTATCTCAATAAGATAATATTTGTTTATATTTAAATAGTCTAGTTGCGGTTGGGCACTATTTCTTAATACATAACATAACATCACGCCTTTTATCTCCGAAAAAAGAGAATACGGCACTTAATACCAATGTACAATGTAACACCCACTTTTCACAATGTATGTTATGAGTCCCATGGAATAGGGGGTGACCTTATTGCCATATACCGGACACAATTCCAGACTCCGTGCTACTACTGAAAATTACTTACATGGGAATTAACATAAGTAGTGACAAGTAGGTGTTTCCTAAATTGTACAGTGGCATAATATGCACCTCTGCCTACCCCTTCGGGGATAAAAGGCGTGATGTTATGTTATGTGAAAATAATAACTCACAATAAACGTAGGGATGTTATATAACATTCAATAATTACATGAAGATTGTTGTATTATTAAAATTACATAAGAATAATAACACGTGTGTTTAAAATTACATACAATTTGTAATAGTAGATAAACTCTGATATTTAGATAAATAGATGATGTATAACACGTACGTTGATGACATAAATCTTAAGCAAAATTATTTCTAAATCGAAGATTTTTTCATAACATAGGTTTATTATTAATTTTTTGAAACCACGATAATTTCACAATAAACTTAAATAATAACTATCGTGAGACATACTAACTTAACTAAAATCGCGGGTTACTCACGTGAATATATTGAGAAAAGCTCTACTAGTTTCGAACCACAGAGGGGTTCTTCCTCATGAGCAGCGAAAGTACACGTGAGTAACCCGCGATTTTAGTTAAACTTAAATTAAATAACTAAAGGTAAGTTAAATAAAAACTAAAGTATATATCACTAAAATTAACATAACATAATAGGAATGATGACAGTCAGACAGACAGATTAGTCCGTACGGGGATAAAAGGCGTGATGTTTGTACACAGCCAGATCTGGTTATAATGGTTATTCTAATATTTCCTCTCTCATCTTTCCAGGTCTGTTCATCCAGCTAATGCTGGGATTCTTCGCATTATCAGCAGGATGCTTCATCATGTTTGCCAAACCATATGATTTCTTCTTCAAGCAGGTAACTACAGCATTTATTACAATTAAAATTAAGTAGGTAAATCTGCTTCATTGGCCAAGTGGTCACAAGTGCGACTGCCGGGCAAGGGGTCTCGGGTTCGATTCCCGGGTCGGCCAAAGTATTACTGGGTTTGTAAAACCTTAGTAGCACGGAGTCTGGAAATGTGCCCGGTATATGGCAACAGGCTCACCCCCTATTACATGGGACTCATAACATAAATAGTGAAAAGTGGGTGTTACTTCTGTGTGTACCTCTGCCTACCCCTTCGGGGATAAAAGGCGTGATGTTATGTGTTGTAAGTAGGTAAATTACCTCGATTATATCTTTAATATTTTGGGACAAGTTCACACATTTGTCCAACCATTGCATATCCCACACCACAAATAAGTGTGGGAGAGCCATGCTTCGGCACAAAGTCACGGAGCCATCAGACCACCACAGACGGAGTCCAATAGGGTTGATGCCGATACGGAGCCGCGGAAGACTTAATGGGTTGCCGGGGCTCCGGTATTCTTTTTATTTTTTCTTTTTTTTAAACGTGCCCCACACTAAGATTTTCTCCTGTGTCGTGGGTGCGTTTACAAACATACAAGTTCACATACACAATGACAACCAGACCCGAAACAACAATTTGTGGATCACACAAAGTGTTGTTCCGTGCGGGAATCGAACCCGCGACACGTTGCACGGCAGCCGGTTGCCCAGCCACCGTACCAACCGTGCAGTCGTATTCGAAGTGCAGAAGTAGGACCGGGGTCGTTTTTAGCACTATAAGTCAGTTTAAAAAACAGCATTTACAATTTTGTTGACACTTTTGTCCACAGAAAGCTGTATTATCAGATGGAGGTGAAATCTTCGAGATGTGGAGGAAGCCGGAGGTGGAACTGTACACAAAGGTGTATCTCTTCAACATCACCAACGCTGACGAGTACATGGCGGGCATAGATGATAAAATCAAGGTCCAAGAAGTTGGGCCTTACGTTTATAGGTACGTATGATTGTTAATTTTTATACAAATTTCGATTTCATTTGCAATGTATGAATGTAGGTAAGTGTGTGAAGCGAAATCTTGCAAGTAAATTTTGAAGCAGATGTCTTCAAGCGATTGAGCAGAAATTCTGTATAGACGTTTAGTTTGCATGAATCACCATAAATGCTAAGTTTGTTTTTTATTTATAAGACATGTGCGCCACACGATGTCTTTTCTCCTATGTCAGGGGTGTGTAAAATACCTTTATGAATTACACATTTAAACTTATGATTTAATAAAGACGGTCACTTAGTCATTGCTTCAACCGTGCCGTTTAATTTTTATGACCTGTATTTAGTTGTAAATCTAATACGATTTCATTATAAAAACTCGCCAAAATACAAAGTCAAAGTCAAAACCAAAATCATTTATTTCAATTAGACCAGAAATACACTTTTGAACGTCAACAAAAAATGAAAAGTGAAGCTATTTGCTCATTCCAATATGTAGATTCCTATGGAGAAGAACGAGCAAGAAACTCCATAGGTTACTACTCTTTTTCAATCACATTTGCAATATAATTCTCTCGTTACATAGTTTTGTTTTTTGGATTGTGCGAGAACAACGTAATACCAAAATCCATTCAAAGAGATTTTACATTTTGCTCAGAAATTTACATAAAACCATAACGTCATGCCCGACAACCTAAAACACCTTCATCTTTTACAGAGAATCTCTGGAACATAAAGTTACGAAATTCAACGACAACGCGACCCTATCAGCTATCCCTAAGCACCCCCTAACATGGGTAGAAGAACTGTCTGAAGGAAACCAGGAAAACGACACGCTGTATCTACCCCATATTGCTTTGTTGGTGAGTCATATTTTTGAATTTTTATAATATTATCAATACCAATAAGGCTTACAGTCCGCCTGATGGAAAGCAGATACCGCAGGCGAAGTATATCTGCAATACCGAGTTTTGCTTAAGTGTGGGAGAGTCATAATTCGGCACGAATGGTCCGACTCGACCGTAGTGATACCACGGCCTCACAGAAAACAAAAGTGAAACAACGCTTGCGTTGTATTTCGTCGTGTGAGTGAGGTTACCGGAGGCCCAATTGTCCTCTTTCCAATCTCCCGAATAGTCGAATCCCCAAGTAATCCTCAAATTCCTAATCCCCAAAAGGCCGATAACGCACTTGTAATACCTCTGGTGTTCCAGCTGTCCATGAGCGGCACTGATTGCTCACCATCAGGTGATCCGTCTGCTCGTTTACCGGCTTAAACCGTAAAAAAATATCCCGAGACCTACCTTATTATACGGGTGCCTTAAAATTTAGGAGACGATGATGAAAATGGGCATCAATGTCTAAATGTAGTTAATATTCATGAGGCCTGTAATTGTACACTATGTTTGCTTTACAACAGGTTATATGTCAAGGAGAATCGGTGTGATGTAGGTACTTCATCTTAATGCCACCTTTAATTTCTCGAAGGGTATGAATCATCATCACCAACAGTTTATAAATGCCCACTGCTGAGCAAAGCCTCTTCTCACACGGAGAAGGTTTGAGCATTAATCACTACGCTTACTCAATACGGGTTGATGATTACAAACATAATTAGAAATTATAAGCCCAGGTTTCCTCGCGATGTTTTCCTTCACCGTTTGTCAGTGGTGTCTAGATAATCTTAGAAAGTACATATAACTCGGAAAAAGTCACATTGGTACTTGTACTACTTTGGTAGGTTTCGTACTCGCCCCCTTATGCATGAGAAGCGGGCGTCTTAAACCTCCGGGCCACCACGACGGACACAGGGTATGAATATCGGGTATAAAAGTAAATTTTTTATAGTCAACGTTTGACTTTGTCAGAGTCAAAGCATTTATTTCAATTAAACTGTCAAACACCGAGCAGTCACCGGTGACCGCAACCTATTGTTCTTTAATTGTGTCTATAATGACGGTACTCAAAGGGTTAAACCATAATTTGTTACTTTAGAAACAACAACAAAAAGTGAAGGAAAAGATCGTAAAGGTTTAGGTAATTAACTAAAGGTAAACAAATAAAACCACGTGACACAGAGATACTTAACCTTCTATTACTTCAAATATTTCTCGTGTTTTAATTTTAACTAAATTCACTTTAAAATCGTTCATTTCTCACACGCACACACTAGCACAAATGCCTAAATCGTACAAGAGCCTAGCCTATGGGTCTATTTCATTATCATGTTTAAATAGAAACTATTCTGAATCTGATGTACGGATTTCTTTCTTGTACGGATATGTGTCTTTGGGCCAAGTTTATTCAATATATTTGAACACATTAATAACAAACGATGAATAACCTAAACTTAAATAACTTAATAACAAAAACAAAACAAAGAAACAAGATAAATTCAACAAAATAGGAACGCGAGCGCAAACGACGAGAGAGCTGTCAATGGCACCTGAATAACCGACTAAACGTAATACACGCTACTTTCATTGTCGCGCTACATCTTAGTTGTACCTACTCTTTTTTGACAACATTATCTAATGCTTCGTTCTTAAAGAAAGGTTTTGGATACCTGGGATTTTAGGCTCTTTATGGTGTCTATTGTAATGAAATATTATATTATTTAACAAATGTTATTAAATTGTTATGCTCAAGCAGATATATATAATATTTACTAAGAAATAAGTGAAAAGGAACAGAAACATAACACTTAATAGAGAAAACTGTCGTAAAAAGGGAAACAATTTTATTTTCTTATGAAGTATTTTGAATCATGGAAATGTCAACTATAAAGAACTCTTTTTATGGTTTGTTTACAAATAGTTAACTACCTAAACAGACGGAGTATAGACTTATAATTTCTTTTTATAAGTTTGAAATCGGCTTCCCACCTTGAGTAAGCGTGGTGATTAATGCTCAAACCCTCTCCGTGTGAGAAGAGGTTTTGCTCAGAAGCGGGCACTTATAGGCTGTTGCTGATGATGATGGTAATGATGATAGTAGATAAAAATTGTGTCCAGAAATAATTTGGAGGTTAGAGAGTGACTACCTTTTTATCTTTAATCACATGAGCAATGCAGCGGGTAACAATTAGTGTTAATAAAGATAAACGCTAGTACTCACTGTAGCCTACAAAGTTACACAACAGCTCTATTGTTCAGAATATCTAAAGTAAATAGCCTAACTTAAGGCCTAAGTATGATAAGTGGTTCTCATCACAGTACCTAAGTATATATTGCTTAATTCTTAAGATGGGTTGCTTAACACATCGTAGGCTAGGCTTTAAATCCTTGCGAAACTCACAGGTCAACTGGAAGTTACAAACGGATGTATATGGCAAAATAACTGCATATGTAATTGATTCTAGAATATCCTTCCTAAGAAGTATTTGAATGTGATTTGTTAGTATGTGTGTTTGTCACTGTGTACGAATTTGTCGTTTAAAGTAATCAGAACGGTTCGTTCGTAGTGCACAAATTACTGAACTAATTTTAATGCATTTAAATGAAATGAAAGAATGCATTTGAGTAATCATAGTGTAGGCAAATTCAAAAGTCAAAATTCAAATTCAAAATTCATTTATTCACATTTAAATCATCCTCCATCACATCCTTTGTTCTTATAGTCTATTTAGCCTGCTTAGGGCATGTGAAGTTAAGTACATTTAAAAAAGGAAAGGAATGGTTGTACATAATTAATTATATTCAATAATAATCCAATTCAATAACATTCACAATATAATTCAATTAAATTCGAGTCAAAGTCCAATACAAGTATGAAGTCAAATATTTTATTTTGCTAAACAATGTCAATCAACAAATTTGTTTTAAAAAAAAAACCTCTTTTGTAACGCGATAAGAAAAACGGTGTGTTCATGCTAAAATCATCGCTTACCATCAGACGAGATGGTGGTCAAACGTCGACCTATAAAGAATAAAAAAAAATAAAAATTCAAAAATCGAAGTCCCGCCCACGCCTCGCTCGAGCGCGTTCCGCGCCAACAATGGCCGCCGAAACGTTGAGTCGTTGAAGGAGTGAATGTTGTTCCCGCCAATTTTCTCAGTTTCTTGAATTCATTATGGAGACATCCACCCTAATTTATTACACATGAAATTAGAGATCTTGAGTTAGATTCCTACGTCGGGCTAAAGATTTATTCGGATTTTTCGCTTGTCAAATATTCTTAGTAGGTAAAGCCACGGAGTCCGGAAATGCGTCAAAGGTAAAATGCAGCCAATATTAATCTCCAGTTTTCAAAAAACATAAATTGGTGTCACCAAAAGCGTCTAGAATTTTCGATGACTTTTCAAATTCACAGCTATATCGAAAGGTTACTTGGTTTGTAGAAGCTAGCTTAATCTTTTAGTATAGGTCAGGAGACCATTTATATTCATCCATTTAATCATTAAGTGTGGCAGAGCCATGCTTCGACACGAATGGGTCGGCTCGACCGGAGTGATACCACGACCGAGCAGAAAACCGACGTGAAACAACGCTTGTCTTGTGTAACGTCGTAAGAGTGAGGTTACTGGACGCCCAATCGCCTTATCAACGATGACTTAGGGCTGATTTTTCATCAGTTACCTAATTCTAAACTGTAGAATAAAATTGACATTTGACAGATTTCAATATGGAAGAATTGGGGTGATGACAGGGTATGAAAATTAAAAATGTAATAAGTTCGTAAGTTATGTAATGAAAATATATTAGACACGTATTTTTTTTCTCGTCGTATAATAAAATAATACTTTGATAAAACGAATCAAAGTTTAGGAGTGGGAGCTAAACGTCATTTCTACGTATAAAGTGTACATAGAAGTGACGTCACGCGACATTTCAAATCAATATATATCATCGAAAGTATTCGTTTCTGTAAGAAAATAAAAAATACGTGTCTAATGGTTTAAAATAATCTACCAGACGGACATTTAAATAAAAATTAGGCGTATACCCTATTGTCAAATATTCAAAGTTGGAAAAATTGGCCCTGAATATACTATCTTATTGTATAGAATATGATAGTATATTTAATTTTTGTATCGTTAGTCGAGTGGTCACAAAAACGATTGCTTAATGCGAGGTACTAGATACATATTTTATCAATACGGAGTCTGGAATTATATCCGGTGTTTGGCAATACATACGACCCATATTACAAATGTGGACTCATTATTTAATCAACAAAAATATTTTGCGCATTGTGCAATAATGGGGTTTATGCTGACCAGTTTTTTTATGGGATAATCCGATAAACGGGTAGATGTATCACCTGATGGTAAGCAATCGGCGTCACCCATGGACACCTGGAACACTAGAGGCGTTATCACGGCAACTTTAAAAGCAGATTGTTCTCATTTAAACTTGTTGATTCACCATGGTGCCAATGTTCGACAGCGGAGTCGCAATACGAGTAGTCGGCCCACCACATACTCTGTGATCTCTGGCAATATGAACGTAACACTATGTTGAATAATTTAATTGTTTCGTGAGGTGTAGCTTACTATACGAACCTTGTGGAATCTAGAACAAATTTCCGTGCGTTTAGGCGCTTTTACCATAATTATTATTGGAAGCAAGTATAACAGCTCACACATAGGACTCACTTAGTTTATAGTCAAATTTCCGTGGTGCTTGGCGACTGGGCTTCAACCAGTTGTACAGTCTCTTTTTGTGCCTAGGACCATACCTTAAGACTATTTATCTACATATTCTTTTTTTTGTTACAGAGCATAGCCAACGTCGTTTCCCAGAAGGATTTATTCACCCGTTTTGGTCTAAACAACTTGATAACTTTGACCAATACCAAGCCGATAGCCAAGATGACAGCGCGTGAGTTCATGATGGGTTATAAATCAGAGCTGATGACTTTGGGCAACACATTCATGCCTGGTTGGATCTATTTCGACAAGCTTGGCCTTATTGATCGGGTAAGCCCTTTAAATTTGGTTTTTAACCGTTTAGGTCATAGAATTTATAATCTCCACGCTTGTCAGACGAGTTGGAGATTACTAACAGTTTAAGTAGTTAGAACATAAAAAAATTACACAACACTACAGCGTTCCTTTTGTATTAAAATAGGGATGATGATAGGGTATGAAAATTAAAAATCTAATTAGTCCGTCAGTTAGGTAATGAAAAAATATTAGACACGACTTTTTTATTTCGATATAATAAAATGATACTTAGACAATAATATAACGAATCAAAGTTAAGGAGTGGGGGCTAAAACGTCATTTCTAGGTATAAAATGTACATAGAAGTCATTGTACATTTTATACCTAGAAATGACGTAATTGGATGGCAGAAGTAATTGGATGACTGTCCACCCCTCAAAAAAACAAAATGTTTGATTATCTCATTATGATATTTAACCATTTTTGGCGATTTTTCGTATCGGGAATTCAACCAGCGATTTTTAATAACTAATGAGAGACATACTAAATTAACTAAAAATCGTGGGTTACTCACGTGAATATACTGAGGAAAGCTCTACTAGTTCCGAACCAGTGAGCTGCGCGACGTCGCTGTGACCGCGCACGCTGCTCATGAGGAAGAACCCCTCTGTGGTTCGAAACTAGTAGAGCTTTTCTCAGTATATTCATGTGAGTAACCCGCGATTTTAGTCAATTCAGCGATAGTATGTCGAAAAACATTAGCGAGTCAATTAAAATTATATTTCCACCTCAACAGATGTACGATTTCGACGGCGATTTCGAAACAGTCTTCACTGGGGCTGATGATGTAAGGAACTCAGGCCTGATCGATACCTACCGAGGGTCGACAGACCTGCCCCAGTGGGAAGGGAAGCATTGCTCCAACGTGCAGTACGCATCAGATGGCACCAAATTTCGAGGTGGTGTGACCAAGAATGAAAGTATACTGTTTTATAGAAAGAGTCTGTGCAGAGCTGCTCCTTTGGTAAGTGAAGATGATCATTATCATTAGTTGTCTTTAATAGGTCCTAATAGGTCACTTGTGGAGCATTAAAATCATTTCTTTATGGGATAAGCTGGTAAACAAGCAGACGGATCACCTGATTGTAAGCAATCGGCGCCGCCAATGGACGCTAAAACATCAGAGGCATTGCCGGCCTTTTGGGGATTAGGAATTTGAGGATTTTTGGGGATTCGAGGATTGGGGAGATTGAGCATGGGGGTAATTGGGCCTCTCTGACATACACGACGAAATGCAGGCCGTGGTGTCACTCCGGTCGAGTCGATCCATTCATTCTTAAAATTCGCTATAATATGGATCATTTGCAAGACTCCATAAAGATCTGCTTACTATATCTAATCTCCACACATGGCAAGCGTGTTGGGGATCAGAAGTCTCAAGTTCGATTCCCGGATAAAGTGATATTGAAGATATTGTGGCTTTTCAAAAAATTCTCAGTAACGCTTGACATTTCGTTAGGAGACAAGCTTTCAGAGAGAAAATACCAGTAAAAGAGGTTGGCAGGTCATAACTGTGCGCTTCTCTCGTAGCTTTCTGCCTCGCATAGTAAAACTGTGGAATGATCTGTCGTCGGCGGTATTTCCGAACCGATACGACCTTCAAACCTTCAAGAAAAGAGCGTATTCCTTTTAAGAAAGCAGGCAACGTACTTGTGACTCCTCTGGTGTTGCGGGTGTTACTGGGCAGCGCTGATCGCTTACCACCGAGTGATCAATCTGACCATTTGCCACCTATTCCATAAAAAAACAATCTTGCGTCTATAATTCAACGTTCGATTCCTGGTACAAATCTAATAGCATTATTTGTTTAACAGATACCAATAGATGAGGGTGTGAAGAGTGGACTGAAAGGATACAAGTACACCTTCCCTGAAAACATGCTGGACAACGGAAAATATATCAAGGAAAACGAATGCTTCTGCCGTCATGGTGAGGTTCATTTTTGCATAGTAAACTTATACATATTTTCATGTACTAGACATATTAGGTTTGATGTTTAATAAATCCTTACTTAATATTATAAATCGGAAAGTGAGTTTATTTGTTTGTTCCAATTTCACGCCGTAACTACTAAACCGAATGCATTGAATTTTTGCAGACATAAAGTTAGAAGTCCGGATTAAATAATAGGGTACTTTTTATCCCGAAAAAAATTGATATTCCCGAGGGAAAACAAAAGTATTGGTATAGATGGCGCTGTATGTATTGGTATATGTCACATAGGCTACTTTTTATCCTTTTGTGACGCGAGCGAAGCCGCGGGTAAAAGCTAATATTATATAAATTCATGTTTTACTGGACCTTGTAAAAAGGTTTTTTCTAAAAGTTCCTATCAACACAGTGTTGATAAGAACTATCGACTGTTGAGTCTTAATGGGACAAGCCCGCCACAACCTCCCAAAACCGCTGCAACTCCTGTAAGCCAGGATCTACAGTAGATACAACCATAAAAACACCGGAACACTGAAGTCCGGCGCGTCCCAGGGACATGAGTAACTGTCTTGGTTCCCGCAACGAAGTGAATCAGAAGATATTATAAGAGGAGAAGAAGAAAAAACTGTGTTGACAACACTCAAAAGCCCACTATTAGGGCTAGTACACAAAACTACGATTCGATGCGATGCGAATTCGTGCGACAAGCCATCTCCCAGCGTGACCAGTCCTTCGACGACCGTCAATCGTACTAAACGTATTTAAATTTAAAACTAGGTCATGACATGGATCGTTAAAAGAAGTGTGCACTTCTGTTATTGTTTATGAGATACAAGATAAAGAAACAAAGAAGATTTTGGGAAGATGACATTTTGATGCGCGATGCGAATCAATTCGCAAGTTCTTGCGATGCGTAGAGGGAGCTCGCACATTTTTGCGATGCAACGTCGGATCGCAGTTTGGTGTACGAGCCCTTAGACTATAAAAGCGAGAATGAGAAGATTCTACCATAATCACCACGTTTGACAGTAAAGTTAGAAATTACAGTTTAAAAGATTTCAGCTAAATCAGAGAGCGTTACTACCTAACTACCTGGACGCCATCACACATTCCTTAATCGGCACAAATTACACCCACATCAAGAGCAGCGGTGCCCACAAGTAAAGACTCTCTACTTTATAATTAATATTCTATCTTTCCTTCCAGGTAAATGTCTGCCAGCTGGTCTGATTGACGTCACAGACTGTTACTACGGATTCCCCATAGCTCTGTCATATCCTCACTTCTGGAAGGGCGATGAAATCCTCTCCAGCAAGGTTGAAGGTCTCACTCCGAACCCTGAGCAACATGAGACTGCGTAAGTTTACTTCTGTTATTCTTTTATACTTTGTAAGAAGTAGTCAAAGTCAGAGTCAAAATCATTTATTTCAATTAGAGTAGGAAGTCACTTTTGAACGTCAACAAAAAGTGAAACTAAGCTCATTCCAAAGTGTAGATTCCTATGGAGAAGAACGAGCAAGAAACTCCATATCTGTTTGGGTTGCAACCTATGTGACAGTTGCTGAGGTGAACAGTTTGTTGCACTTGATATAAAAATAGTTTATTTCACGAAACTATACTAAAATAATGCCTATGAATGCACCCGGTTTGCTGTTCGAGTATGCACTGCGTTAGCAACGCACGCAGTGCAGCCGCGTTATATTGAGTCAGCAACCGTGGTAGATTGCAAAATATTGCATCGAACAGTATCTCAAATGTAAATTAAACTCCATTCGAATCTACATTTTGGAATGAGTACCTTTACCTAGTTTCACTGACGGACTGACTGACAGACTATTATTTATTTTGTATTCGTTGATATTTCAAAAGTACCAAATTATGTTTTAATTGTAATATATGCTTTGACTTTGATAATTACGTTTATTGTTTATCCTTACATTTTCTGTTTTCTTCAGTTTGATGAAATATTTTTGTTCTAACCAAAAACTTTGACTTGTCTTCAGATTCTGGATTGAACCCGAGTCTGGTCTACCTCTGGACGTCAGCTCCAAGTTCCAGATTAACATGGCGCTTGGAGACATCACCTCAATCAAGAATGCTGAACGTTTTGCGGATATGTACCTACCGCTGCTGTGGTTTGATATTGTAAGTATTGAGGAAATATAGGAGATATAAATAAAGGTGCACATGTATAGTCATCCTATGTGAATGATGACTTTGCACTTGCTCCAAAATTTTATGCCAACAAAATTTCAGCCAATGACAGTAGTCCATTACAGAACTATATGCGTCTTCTATATGAAAGGAGATTTATAATAATCTCCAGGCTCCACACTAGGCAGACCATTTAGGTGTCGGTGGATTTAATTTTGTCAGAGAGCGCTACTGTATCTCCGTCTTATGCTTGTGTTCGTTCATCGGTACTTACCATATAAACGTATTTTATTGCAACAAATATATTCCACTCCACTCTACTCTCCTACCACGAGGCCAATTCACACTTGTACATAGACAAGATATTGAACCAACACCTTTTACTCGACCAATCGCATAAAACCAAGGTAATAATTTCTAATAATCACAATTTCACTCCACAGACAATGAATTCCCTACCGCCATCAATGAAACAGCGCTTCGGGCTCTACCTAAATATCCTACCACTCGTAGAACAAGGAGCCATGTACCTCCTCTTCATCACCGGCGCCATCTTCATACTCTCAACCGTCTACATCTTAACCTTCAAGATCATGTTCAGAAAACAAAAGCATTTCGACCAGTGGAAAGAAAACGAAGGTGTCTACGCTCGTTGCGAAGTCCCTATGAGTGACACTGATCTAGAATCAGACAACAAGCATTCAATTTTGAAAAATCGTACCGAAAAAATCAAAGATTTGGGCACTAAGTTCAGTGATCGCATGTATGATACAGTCGGCAGTGTTAAAGACCGAGTTGTAGAAGAATTGCAACATGTCAAAAACGTCTTTGATAGGAGAAGTTCGAAACATGTCGAGACTGATTTTAAAAATGATAATAACCAATATACAGCGATTAAACAAAGTGACAGTGATTCTGATGACTGCAAGTATTTAGAAGTGCTTGATGATGGATCAGGTCTGGTGCCAACTAAATTTGAAACTGAACGGTCGGAGAAGTTAAAAGAAATGGACTCGAATGAAAGGAGGTAGAAGACTTCTTTGAATTATTTTTATGGTTATTATAGACTTCTGTGTTGATGCATGACTAGAAAAATCCTTCTAGCAAATGGATTTTTTAATTCTCCGCTCTTGAGTGGGTGAAAAGGGTGTGTATGGAAAAGAAGCGTTAAAATAAGGTACGAATTTAAAATATCTTTACTGCGAATGTAAAGATAAAAAATCTTGCCATGGTTACGACTGATATTTTTTTTAGTTTTATCTTTTTATTTTGTCGAATTTTATTTTGTGAAATTTTAATTGCAGTATAATTTTTCCTATTAAATAGTAATGCTTTTTACGATAACTGAAAGGGTAGGGTCGTTGATAATTTTCCATAGTTTTATATCTGGGAGTTGGACATTAAATAACGTTCAGATTAATAGTAATTAATGAAATAATAGATACCTATTATTACAACGAATTAATTTCGTTTTAAGAGATAATTAAGTATCTATTTATTGCTCAACTTAATTTGCCTATTTTCTCTTAATATTATGTCAAAATAATAATGCATTTTTAATTTGTATTGAATGGTATTTATATTATTGTCTTATTAAATTAAAATAATACATAGTCCCTACTTAAAAGAATTCGTAATTTGTAATAATTGCCAAATAATGATGTCTCATAATACTTTTCATTTTTCAACAAACAGTGGAGATGCATTTTTTGTAATATTGTGCATTTAAAATTGTCTCTTATTAGAAAAAAGTACGCTGTATTTATTTTTCATTAATTAATTATTATTATTTTACGCCAGTGAATGTCGAAATAAAAATAAATAAGATTTCAAAAATAATTATATATTCCGTTGTTATTATAAGACTTTCTGCTTGTTTAAGAAATGACATTAGATTTATATTTTTTTAATTTATAAGTGAAAGAGCATTTTTGTTTATAGAAAGCAAGTTGTTGAATTAAAATTAATATTAGGTATGAATAACAAATAAAATTAGGGCCGTTACAACTATTATAATATATGTAACTTTCTTCCTGCGGATTTCTTTCGAGTAGTTCTGAAAACGGTCCATTCGTTTCAGAAGCTAGTTCTTAGAGGGCTACTGTTTAATGGTCACTAGATGGCGCTAATCTACAAAAGTTCATTTTGTTCAATTCGTTTTGAAGTTCAATAATGTGACACTATTGAACTTCAAAACCTTGATTTATTCCCTATCGGACAAAGTAAAGAAGGCCACGCTACCGCCATTAGACTAATAACGTAACTTGCCCCCGTTTCTAACAAGCGAACAAATAAATAAATAAAACGGGGTGAATAAAATTCAAGGGGTGAATAGATATTATGAATAATTTCCCAACATCTATCCACCCCTCGATTTCTATTCACCCCGTTATAACTACCGGGTAGTGATTAAATCGAATGAAATGTTATTCAAGATGGTATCCATATAAAAAACCTTGCTAATTCAATTCCTATAAAACTGAACAAGTTTGCTCAATTCAATATTCCTTTGTATAACCGTAACTACCTTTCTATGCCTTACAGACTAGTCTAAGCTAGATTTTAAGATAGACCTAAGTTCAAGTGAGCCCTATTCCTCAAGAAACGTAAAAAAAATTGGTTGCCTGTAAAGTCGGTATACGGGCGAAAGTTTTACGTGACAACGACTTTGAGTGGTAAAATAATTTTAATGTGAATATTCATTCGTATAGTAGGAAGAAGGATGAAATAATTCACTTTTTATGTCTGTCTCTCTAGCTCTTAGGCGGGCTAACCATGCCCGAGTGGAAGGGACGCGTGCCTCTCACTCGCTCTCATTGTGAGCGCATAACGTGAGCGGAGCGTAACGCAGTTTCTTGAAGTGTCACCCGGCAAACCAATTTATAAGACGTTGTCACGTCAAAAAAGAAAATATGAAGTCTACGGCCTATTTCACAATCTCTGCTTACGTTATTATTAGCTAAACTGGCAATTAGCAAAATTGAAACTCTAATTATCTCCTTTCCCTATCTCCAATCCTTCAGATTCACAAATCACTAATAAAAAAATCTGGTAACGCTCTAGTGTTGCGCGTGTCCATGGGTGGCGCTAATTGCTTACCATCAGGTGATCAATCTACTCGTTTGTCAGCGTATACCATAAAAATGTCGCGGAGAACCTAACGGGTAACCGGGGCTCCGGCTCGACGTGCAGGAGAAGGAACGGGGTGGTTTTTAGTCAGTAAGAGTCTGACACTCCCTTCCGCCTCACCCAGGCGGGAGCAGCCATTCGATGATTTTCCCCCCTTAAAAAAAAATACCATAAAAATACCTTTGAAATATACGTAAAATTTATCTGTCAGCTAAGCTAATATTCTAATAATCAGATATTGTGAAACAAGACTTTATTAATTATACATGGTGGAATTTTGCAATGCCACCTGAAGGGGAAGTACTCTTAATACTTTAGATAGAACATTTTACTCTAAGAAAACATTCCTTTATTTTTGAAAAGAAACAAAACTGCGTAAAAAGATTTTTAAAAATTAGCTTGCCTTACACGGTTGTCGAACCGACCAAACTCTGTCAAAGTGTGCATCCTGTACTTTCATTGCATCGATCGTTAGGGGCAATAAGGATGAAATCTCTCTAACAGGAAAACAAAGAAATCTTATTCGATTACCGTGTGCGGCAAAGGCAAGCGAATTTTAAAAATCTTTGAATGCAGTTTACTTTCTTTTCAAAAATAAAAGAAAGTTTTTTTTTTAGTACAATTTTCTATCTGATGTATTAAGAGCACTTCCCCTTCAGGTAGCATTACAAAATTCCACTCTGTATTTAGGATTTTTATAAGTATGTAGCTGTCAAAGTTTACCAGTTTATAGACAAATTTGTAAACATACCAGTTGATACTACTTGTATAATAAAAATTAAAAGAAATATTATTATTTTACTGATGGAATAGGGGCAATCCAGGCCTAAATGAAATTGGCCTATTAAGTTATTTTTGTATAAGAATTCTTGGTCATGTATTGGTAAGTTTTAAGTACTAGTTGGGCCTTATTATTGGCCTTTAGCCGTATATTTAGGCCTTAAACTAATTACCAACTCATGTTGTGATATCTAATGAATAATAAAATGTATTTATAAAATTATAATTTGAATAGAATATTTTTTAAACGGTATTTATTTTTCGTTGGCTGGATAATAATATGTATAATTTTATTTTTAACACGTTTTATATAATAATAAAAATTGTATAATGTATATTTTTTGTAAACAAGTTTAACCACTAATAAAATCAGAAAATAATATTGGAACATAAATAGAATGACATTTTAATTTATTGCATTAAAATATTATTCAGCCAATGAAGAATATTAATGTGAATTATGTTTAAAATGTGTACGTAAATAAATAAATAATTTTTATTTTCAATAATGTTAATAATAAGCAAAAAGTATTCTCTCTACGTTTGGTACTTGGTCTACTGTTTTGTAAATAGATGTCGATTTATTATTGAAAATAAATGAAAAAATATTATTACAAAAGTATTTTATGTCTTTGATTTTATAGTACCTACTCATATCAGTTTAACCAACACACATTTACACATTACAATTTAAGGAACCCCTAAGGTAAGACAGGTGACATTTAACGACACTTTGTTATTACCAACTTAAAAACGTAAAACAACCAACGTGACGCGGGTTCGATTCCCGCACGGAACAACTCTTTGTGTGATCCACAGATTGTTGTTCCGTGTCTGTGTGTGATGTGTATGTGAACTTATATGTTTGTAAAGTGTGGGGCAAATTTTTTTTTTAAATACACCAACTTACAGTTATGAGTGACGCCTAGCAGTACAAGTAGAGGAGTTAGGTTAGTTGCTACTTCACGCTAAGTACGCTTTATTTACGAGTACGTTTAGGGGTATTTAATGAACTTGGTCATCGAAAACTCCCTTAATAACGACCACTTTATCAAAGTCAAAGTCAAAGCATTTATTTCAATTAATCCTTTAATTCCCAATCTCCCCAATCCCTGAATCCCCAACGTTCCTCAAACTCCTAATCCCCAAAAGGCCGGTAACGCACTTGTAACGCCTCTGGTGTTCCAGGTGTACATGGGCGCTGATTGCTTACCATCAGATGATCCGTCTGATAGTTTACCGGATTATGCCATGAAAAATAGGCACTTTTGAAACATCAAAAATTTAATTGTCCGTCCGCCTGTCTGTCCGTGAAGCTAGGCGCTCGTTCCAAAAGGTAGTTTCGAATGGAGAAGAACGAGCAAGAAACTTCATCGTTACTCTTAAAAAAAGACTTTTGCAGTCTCATTGATACATTATCTGATCCTTATCCACTATCTAATGTATATAAACTAGTGTCCGACCGAAGCTTCGGCTTCGGCTTCGGCTTCGGCCACCTTCGGCCAAAAAGTCCACCTTCGGCAAAACATTCGGCTTCGGTCCAAAGCCCGGCCGAAGCCGAAGGTTTCGCCGAAGGTCCGAGCGACTGCCGAGATTAAACGAACGATTGAACGAACTGTTACGAATGTCATGAGGCGGCGGGGAGTCACTGTCAAAATATCACATTGCACATGCATCAAAACAAGTTCGTACGTGTATTTAAACGAGTGTTTTGTTTTGAATTTGTGCTTATCTTTTAAATTGTGATAGATTAGTTTTATTAATCTCTAAACCAACCATCTCTTTGATATATCATAAACTTCTTTATAAGACAGTCAATATAAACCTTCAATATTGAGGTTTTGAAATAATTTTAATATTAATTGTAGCTTGTAGACAATATTGAACAAAATCATTGACTGAGTGCTGAGAAAATATAAACCTTCGGCTTCGGCTTCGGCCGAAGGTCGTGGCGATAGCCGATTAATCGGCTTCGGCTTCGGCTTCGGCCAAAAATACACCTTCGGTCGGACACTAATATAAACTCTAAGAATGGAGCTGTTTACCTCATCAAAATTATTCGTACATCGACCTATTTTTTAAATTAATGATGTATCATCTGCAAACAACACCATTTTTGGTTCATTTTCGAATATGTATGGCAAATCGTTAATGTAGACCAAAAAGAGGAAAGGACCTAATATTGAACCTTGAGGAATACCCATACTTATCTCAGACCTTTGTGAATTAACACCGTTTTCATGAACTTTTAGATGACTATCCTCTGAATATGAGTTTAATAGACTAAGTGCAGTATTTCTCACTCCTATCTCTAAGTATATCTAACATAACATAACATCACGCCTTTTATCCCCGAAGAGGTAGGCAGTACAATGTAACATCCACTTTTTACTATTTATGTTACGAGTCCCATGTAATAAGAAGTGAACTTATTGCAATATATCGGGCACAAATCCAGACTCCGTGCTACTACTGAGATCTTTTTAAAAAAACCCAGTAATACTTTGCCTGACCCGCGAATCGAACCCGAAACTCTCTTGGGATCACTCAAAACTTGCCCTTAAACTTAAACATAATTATATGATACAATTTTCTAGCCAAATATGACAATGAGAGTATTTGACAATGAATTCATATCTTTCTAATTACCCATATTTTGACAGTTTGAGTATTTGTGCGAACCATGCAAATGTAATGGTGACGCTAAAACACTGTGATAAGAATTCTTAAAACTAAAACACAGATCTTTGACAAATAAATAAAAAAGGACACATTAAAATTAAAAAAAATAAACTTTAATCATTACTATTATGACTTAACATAACTATTAAATGAATGCTTAGAATAAATTACTTTGAATCCCAAACAGTTGGACCAGCTTCATACAGATCCACCAGAATAAGACAGCATGGAAAACAACTTGTACCGCCTGGTCTAGTATCATCATTCTGGAAAAGAAATATTATGGACGTTAGCTCTGTTAGACGGGTAGGTAGAGGTATACATCTAACCTGTAAGTGTTTCACAAGCATGACAGGCTCTTAGGTTTTTTTTTATACTGTCATACACCGCGAGGATACCGATGACCGCAACCTATTGTTCTTTAATTGTGTCTATAATGACGGTACTCAAAGAGTTAAGGTAGGAAAATTATTGAATGACTTCTCCCGCCCGGATGAAGCGGGAGGTAGTGTCAGACTGTTACTGTATAGAAACCACCCCGTTCCTACTCCTGCACTTCGAGCCGGAGCCCCGGTAACCCGTTAGGTTCTCCGCGGCTCCGTATCGGCAGGCTCTTGGGTTAGATTGGCGGATCGTGCAAAATCGTGAAGTTTCTTTGATTTTATTTTTAATTTTCGTAGTAACAATACAGATTCTGCTATTGTGCCCGGTATATATTCGATGTAGTATTCTGAGGGAATCTGTTTCGTTTTCGTCCCGAAGTAAAATCGTTCTGTCTCGGTAATACAAAGTTTTACAAACAAATAAAATGTTTAAAACAAAAAATAACTGGTGAACCATTGCAAAAAGCAAACTTTGGAAGCGCATATGAACACATAGTACATTATCAAAGCATCACGCCATGTCATTCTCGAAGAGGTATTTCTCGTCGGGTGGCACGTGCGATGCGGATAGTGTCTACAAATTTACGTCTAGTGTTTCATGTGCGTATTTCCATGATATTTTTCAAAAATTAAAAAAATTACATCTTTCTATATTTTTTTACTTTATACATAGATAGTACTCCTTATGGCAAGTTATTTTGCTGCAGGACGAAAACGAAATGGATTTCACGGTGTATATAGGACTCATCAGTTGACTAGTGAATCATAAGTGTTATATGTATTTCATATGTGCACATCTGCTACCAAAAAAAAACTAATCCAGCTTTCATTTTAAAACCAAAACCAAGCTAGATGCGCTTTAATTCAATGTATAGTCCTAAAAACTTACTATTTGGTTTCAAAACATAACATAACACATAACGCCTTTTATGCCCGAAGGAATAGGCAGAAGTTTACATAATGCCACTGTACAATGTAACACCCACTTTTCACTATTTATGTTATGAGTCCCATGTAATAGGGGGTGAGCCTATTGCCATATACCGGGCACAATTCCAGACTACATGTTACTACTGTGATTTTTTTTTGAAAAACCCAGTAATACTTTTGGCCTGACCCGGGAATCGAACCCGAGACCCCTTGCCCGGCAGTCGCACTTGCGACCACTCGGCCAATGAGGTAGTCATTGAGACATTATAAAAATAATCCACTATTTAATCTAGTCTTTAGACGCGAATTATTATTGAATAAAAATAAGCAATAATACCTTTTACAATGAGCCCTGGCCTTAGGAAGATTCTCATCCTTCTCCTTTAATAAGAACTTCCTGCCTCCTAGACAGCATTTAGTGAAGTATTCCACCAGGTCAGTGGTCTCCAAGTCATAATAGAACTGCTTCGTATCCGAATGTTTCAATACTGAACGGAGATGCACAAAGTTCGTATTGTCAAAGGTCCATTGCTGGGTTAGATAGTAACTTAGGGCGAGGTTTGCTATGTAGATGCGGCGTTGGATTTTGACCAGCCTGTAAGAATGATAGAAAAGAGGTTAGAGACGATATTTTACTTAAATTTATTTGACGCAGACTGATATACTTTCGACTGCACGTGCAACGTGTCGCTGGTTCGATTCCCGCATAGAACAACACTTTGTGTGATCCACAAATTGTTGTTTCGGGTCTGGATGTCATTGTGTATGTGAGCTTGTATGTTTGTAAACGCACCCACGACACAGGAGAAAATCCTAATGTGGGGCAACGATTTTTTTTAAATAGTTACAATCTCAAGCTTGAACACCAGTAGGAACGGGGTGGTTTTTAGTCAGTAAGAGTCTGACACTCCCTCCCGCCTCACCCAGGCAGGAGAAGTTATAGGATGATTTTCCCCCCTCAAAAAAAAAAGCACGAACACCAAGCAAGTGTCTACAGTTTAATTTTAGATTTTAAACGTAATTCGCCATTTGTTCCTACCCCACTGGGTAATTTTTATTAAAATATAATAGAAATGTGATGGTATTAAAATATAGTAAAAATAGAAGTGTCGAAGAGCCATGCTTCGGCACGAATGGGCCGGCTCGACCGGAGTGATACCACGGCCTCACAGAAAACCGACGTGAAGCAACGCTTGAGTTGTGTTTCGTCGTGTGAGTGGGGTTGCCGGAGGCCCAATTACCCTCCCCTTCCCCAATCTCCCTAATCCCTGAATCCCCAACGATCCTCAAACTCCTTATCCCCAAAAGGCCGGTAACGCGCTTTTAACGCCTCTGGTGTTCCAAGTGTCTATGGGCGACACCGATTGCTTACCATCAGGTGATCCGTCTGCTCGTTTACGGGCTTATGCCATAAAAAAAGAAATAAATTATGGCAATATAGGATACTTACATAGGTTTCTTTCCAATCAACCAGAGTAGTGTGTCCACTAAAATAGCTGGAAGCAAGTGCTGGATTAATACCTGAAACATAAAAAAAAAACATTATCATTTTTACAACTCTATTTGGGAGCTTGATTTGGTGGATGCAAGCGAGACTGCCGCGCTAATGATATCACAAATTCCCAAAACGAGCAAAGTAATAAGTAATTATATACTTAATTTTTTTTTTTAAACACGTCATTAATCTTGACTTCGATTCAATAAGAAATCAGACTATCAAAGAAGGCAATAGGCTCATAACCTGGGTGCTGACTCTCGAAACCAATCTCAATGTCAATGCAATTTCAATCCAATAAAATCTCAATAATTATTCAATGTCGAAACTATATAACCCCTATCGTAGCTGTTAAAATAGCATTCAGGGTACGGAATATAAATCCAAACTCAATACTATTTAGTTGATTCAATATCCACGCAATACGGATGCAATGGGCGCTGTGTTGCAACTCAAGAGTACGAAAGTTCACAATACCAATGTCGATCGATTGGAATTGGATTCAAGAGTAAGCCCCCTGAGCATGACATAATTATAATGACTAATAAAACACATTCTGAAAAGTGAGTTCAGATATCGATTGCCCTTCAGGAAATTCAACCGATAATCCAACTCACATCTGACATCTGACCTCAGAACCGAATTATCCCTAAGTCAAAGTCAAAATCATGTATTTCAATTAGACCAGTGCCTTTAGCCAAACGCCACTTTAGCGCTTGTCTACAGGGAGAGTAAAAAACTAAATATATAGGGATGACACCGACAAGTGTCAAATTTTACGTCAATTCCATATAATTTGGTTTTCTATTCTACATGTAGACAAGCGATAAATGGCATTTGGCTACAGCTGCAGGAAGCCACTTTTGAACGTCAAAACAAACGTAAATCTATATATATAAAAGAAAGTCGTGTTAGTTACACTATTTATAACTCAAGAACGCCTTAATCGATTTAGATGAAAATTGGCAGGGAGGTAGCTTAGAACCAGGAGACGGACATAGGATACTTTTTATACAATACTTTTTTTTACTTTTTACTGAAAATCACGAACGGGAACGGGGGAAAATGGGATTGCGCGTACGAAGTCGCGGGCAGAAGCTCGTATTAAATAATAATAAAAAATGTCAGTCTGTAAGTCAGTCCTCTAGTGAAGCTATTTGCTCGTTCCAAAGTGTAGATTCCTATGGAGAAGAACGAGCAAGAAACTCCATAAGGTAATCTAGGTATGTGGTTAGGACCCAAAGTTAAAAAGGAGCGCGGCGGGACGCGATTGGCCAACTGCCTAAAGAGCGATGGTATGGCGACAGTCGTGGTGGCCCGGAGGTTTAAGACGCCTACTTCTCATGCATGAGGGTGCGGGTTCGAAACCTACCAACGGCAAGTACCAATGTGACTTTTTCCGAGTTATATGTACTTTCTAAGATTATTTAGACACCACTGACTAACGGTGAAGGAAAACATCGTGAGGAAACCTGGACTTATAATTTCTAATTATAAGTTTGAAATCGCCAACCCGCATTGAGCAAGCGTGGTGATTAATGCTCTAACCTTCTCCGTGTGAGAAGAGGCTTTGCTCAGCAGTGGGCATTTATAGGCTGTTGATGATGATGGCGACATCAAAACTAAAATTAAGGGTACCTATGACTATGAGGCGCTTGCCTAGTGCTCCTTGTAAGCTTAATCTGTCTCCACTTGACCCCTAGCTCGATAGTAACATTTGTGAATTGAATTGGGTAATTTCCAGGGTAAGAAAATTACAATTCTAATTAGTCCGTCAGTTAGATAATGAAAAAATATTAGACACGTATTTTTTTATTTTCTCGTATAAAGTTACAATACTTAGATAAAATGGAGTTAAGTTTAGGAGTGGGAGGTAGTTACGTTACAACGCGCTACATTTTGTTGCACACTGTGACGTCACACGACATTTCAAATTAATATATCGTCGAAAGCATTTCATTTTGTGAAAAAAGAAGAAATACGTCTCTAATGATTTAAAATAATCTACCAGACGGACATTAAAATAAAGTTTAGGAATACATACAAAACATCAGTATATTTTAATCAGACAAATTTTGTCTGATTAAAATATACTGTTGTTTTAGACCATTTAATGGTCTACTTTACCTTAATATAATGATAAACAGGATTAGTAGTAATTGTGCCACCAGTATGCCACAACATGTCGTCCAGCGGGATCTCCTTGGAGACATGTTTGGACATATCCACGAGGTCGCCCATCAACATGTTGTTCAGATTGCCAGAACAACAGTTGTAGATTTCTATGTCATCTGTCGGCTCCAAACTGGGAAGAATAAGGTATATTAAATTATTGTTCAATATTTATTATTTAATTGTTATATTTATGATATGACATTTTATTTTTAGTGTGATATTTGTAAGATGTTTTTTTTTTGATGTTTCCTTTTATACTAATTTGAGGCATAGATTATTTATGACATTTTAATATATTATTACTAGCGACCCGCCCCGGCTTCGCACGGGTTTAATAAGAAACCTCTAAACTTATCAGTGTTCTCTACTATATTACGCATGTATTATTATACATATAAATCTTCCTGAAGAATTACTCTATCTATTTAAAAAACCGCATCAAAATCCGTTGCGTAGTTTTAAAGATCTAAGCATACATAGGGACAGACAGAGGTCGGATAGCGAATTTGTTTTGTACTATGTAGTGATCTTGCAATCGCAGTAGGAATGCATTGCTAATATTTTTCCACAGGCGCTATTAACATATTTTTGCGTAATAAGGAACAAGTCTATGATGACATAGGTACTCATACATACATACTAGTCACAGTTATACTTTTGAATATGATTAAAGTATTTAAAAATTAAACGAAACTAAAAATTAATCAAAATTAACGTCTACTCGTCAGACTCCCTGCTACTACTGACAATATTTAAAAAACCCAGTCATACTTTGCACGACTCGGGAATCAAACCCGAGCCCAGCAGTCGCACTTGCGACCACTCGAATGACATTTTAATATTATTAGCAATTACGCAATAGGAATATCTTGCTAATATTTTTCCGCAGGCGCTACCAACATTATTTTAGCGTAAGGAACAAGTCTATCATGGCATATTAAAGCTAATCACAGTATCCCCAAGCAGTCACCGGTGACCGTTCTCCACTAACTACATTGTAGACCTTATTTCCGATGTTTAGAGACTACTTTTGTATGAACAAATTTAGGGGATGATATTTCAACAGGTTTGTGTAAATTCAAATAAACCATAAAGATTTAAGGAGTCCAACCACAGAAATCTATAAGATTATATTTACGTATTTTATGTAAATGCTTTTATTAATTTGGATAATTACCACTATCTCTCATAACATTTTTGCAGGTCACCACCTACCACATATGTACCTCTACATTTCTGCACTACCCAAAGGATGACTGGCAGAGAATGCTGTTAGCATTAAGTCTTCCTTATGCAATTGTATAAAACTTAAATAAATAAATAAATCAAAATCTATACTAATATATATAAAGCGGAAGAGTTTGTTTTTTTGTTTGTTTGTTTGAACGCGCTAATTTCGGAAACTACTGGTTCGATTTGAAAAATTATTTCTGTGTTAGATAGCCCATTTATCGAGGAAGGCTAAAGGCTATAAACTATCACGCTACGATTAATAGGCGCCGAGCAAGCGAAGGAAGCGAAGGTGCGATTGAAACCGCGCGGAAGAAACTAGTATAGAATAAACCACAGAAATATTTCTTTATTATATCTATGTGTACAACTCAAGGATCGAATTGATACTCCAAATTAAAATACACGTTTGCAATTACTCTAACAAAACTCAAAACTTAAAAACATATATTCATTTCAAAACGTTTCAAAAGTACCAAATTATAGTTCAATTCAATTGAAACGTCAACAAATCATTACATAGTATAAAACAAAGTCGCTATCCGCCGTCTGTCTGTCCCTATGTATGCTTAGAACTTTAAAACTACGCAACGGATTTTGATGCGGTTTTTAATAGATAGAGTGATTCTTATGGAGTTTATATGCGTATTACATGCATATTGCATCCGTGCGAAGCCGGGTCAGGTCGCTAGTATAAACTAAATAATAGTCTGTTAGTCTATACGCTAGTGAAGCTAGGCGCTCGTTCCAAAATGTAGATTCGAATGGAGAAGAACGAGCAAGAAACTCCATTCGTTACTCTTTTATTTAACCATGCAGCTATCATTGATTTTATAATGAAGTGAGCAAACCCTCAATCATAAACTAGTTTATCAAATACAATTTGGCTCACGTCCTATTACATTGGACTCATAATAATTGGGATGACGACAGGTATGAAGAAAAATCCAATTAGTCCGTCAGTTAGGTAATGAAGAAATATTAGACACGTAATTTTTATTTTGTCGTATAATAAAACAATACTTAGATAAAACGAATCAAAGTTTAGAAGTAGAGGCTAAAACGTCATTTCTACGTATAAAATGTACATAGAAGTGACGCCACGCGACATTTCAAATCAATTTGTCGTCGAAAGTATTCGTTTCTGTAAGAAAATAAAAAATACGTGTGTAATGATTTAAAATAATCTACCAGACGGACATTAAAATAAAAATTAGGCATCTACCCTATTGGTGAAAAGTGGGTGTTACTTACATTGTATATCCCTCTGCCTACCCCTTTGTAGAAAAAGGTGTAATGTTAAAATTATTAACAGAAATAAAATAGTCAAAATACTTACGGCTTTGTGCCTCTGATCCATGATCCAGCAATTATATTTTTAGCACAAATGTCCACGGGTATAAAATCACAAATTATGTCTGGTTTCGTGTGAATTGTTCGCATAATACCTGAAAAATATAGAAAAAGATATAAAAAAACCTTGAAAAAAATGCAAAAACAAATTTTTAAGAGACAAAAGATTCTCTCCGGCGGGGAATCGAACCCCGGTCTCCCGCGTGACAGGCGGGGATACTGACCACTATACTACCGAAGACTTGTTTAATGATGTCGAAATTGTGGCTCAATTCATACAATATGTATTGAAATACTAATTACGTAGAATTTTTTAAATAAAATTACTAAAAATATTATTAAAAATAACAAAAATTATTATTATTGCTTTGATTGAAGGAGCAGAGTTCTTATTATACGTTATATCTTACGACACATAAGTACAAAAAACTGAGTACAGCGCCATCTAGGTTTGAAATATAGTAACTTGAATCTTTAGGTATCAGTACTAACAGTAGTTTGCATATAAAACAGAATTGGTAACGCGAAAATAATATTTCCTGTTCCATTATTTTTTAAGAAAGACGTGTTATTCTTATTTTGGCATTGTCTATAACTTTTTTGTTTGTATTGTATAATATCTAAATTTTGTTAAACGCCATCTGTCGGTCATAACAATAACTAACTACCTCCCTTGCCTTAATCTCATGCTGTTGTGTTTGGCACTTTCTCAGCTCTAAATTAATTAATTGTCATATAATATTATTAAACAGATAAACAATAGATATCAAACACAATAATATATTATAGAATAAGTACCTACAGAGAAATATAAGTAAAGAGAAATACAATACCTTTGCCACATGCCACAAATATTCCAACAGGACCATTGAAGTTCTCTATCCAACCAGGCATTGGTTCTTCTACACTGGAAATTACTGAAATAAAATAAAATGTTAATAGAGCATCGTCATAAGCTAATGTTCACATGTAAACAGCAGCTCATGTAGTGTAGATGTCCAGTCAACAAGGATGTAGCGAGGTTGACTGTCCAGGCGACACACGTACTTAGGTATCGTCATGAGCTAATGTTGACATGTAAACAGCGGCTCATGTTAAATGTACTGAAGGATGCTCCTCACCTATCGAAGGTCTGACGATGACAATTGGAAGCTGTCCTTTGTATTCAGCTACCACATGTTCTGCCAGCTGCTTCGTGAAGGTATACGTGTTTGGAAGCTCTCCGAGGTACCTGAATGATGATTATTATATAGTTTGCTTAGAATGTCTCTATGTATAGTTAAAAAATATAGTTGATGACAAATTTGGTGCAAATAGACGTCTAGATTGTGTATGGAAAAGGACTCAAAATGTTTAAGCCAATTTCTATTAACTACGTAAATTAATTAATCTACATAAATCATTTAACGAAACTTACTTCGGAGTCAGCACTTTCATGGTATGCTCATCAGCAGACTCGCAAACAGCCAGGGTCTCCCTCCAGTCAGCTAGAGGAGGGTATAACACCTCCTCAATGGGATCTCTATTTGTATTAGAATACGAAGTCGATACGTGAACGACAGCCTACGAAAAAGAAAGTTGGGATTTGAGTACAGCGCCATCTGTTATTTAACACGTGGAACTAAAGTTTGCAATGAAAATGGTTTTTTTAGCTTGTTTGCAAATGAAGATGAGATATATTTATCGCGATAAAGGGATATTTTTAGACGTACATCAATCCTCTAATAACATACATCTACTTAACATCAGAAGAGTAGGCATAGCTAGCCTTAAACAACGAAAAACACATAATTATATCTATATTTTTTTTATTGCCTTGTTGGTCGAATGGTCGCACTATTGCAATAACGACGACGTTTGAATTTCTTGATATCAGACACCCAGACCTCAAATACCTCGCAATACAGTGATATACGGAGGAGCCTAACCAATCTCTATGCTCCCTATAAATAAATAATATAACATAACATCACGCCTTTCTATCCGAAGGGGTAGGCAGAGGTGCACATTTCGGCACTTAATGCCACTGTACAATGTAACACCCACTTTTCACTTATGTTATGAGTCCCATGTAATACGAGGTGAACCTATTGCCATATATACCGGGCACATTTCCAGACTCCGTGCTACTACTGAGATTTAAAAAAATCCAGTAATACTTAGACCGACCCTGGAATCGAACCCGAGACCTTTTGCCCGGCAGTCGCACTTGCGACCATTTGGCTAACGAGACAGTCAGTTAAAACTATCTAGAGGTATACTTACAGTTAAATCTCTGACTTCCTTAGCCAGCTCCATAACTTGCATAGTGCCTCTCAGGTTCATTTGCGCTGCATACTTCAGTGTGTCGTCGAACCTGGAACAAAATGTTAATCATTATTGTAAATGTAAACCATGTATACATATCTATGTAATACTAGCTTTTACCCGCGGCTTCGCTCGCGTCACAAAAGGATAAAAAGTAGCCTATGTGACATATACCAATACACACAGCGCCATCTATACCAATAATTTCGTTTTCCCTCGAGATTTTTCCGGGATAAAAAGTACCCTATTATTTAATCCGGACTTCTAACTTCACGTCTGCAAAAATTCAAAGCAATCGTTTTAGTAGTTACGGCGCGAAAGTGGAACAAACAAACAAACTCACTTTCCGATTTATAATATTAGTAAGGATTAATGTAAACCATGAATCCCCTACAATCCTCAAACTCTTAATCCCCAAAAGGCCGATAACGCACTTGTAACGCCACTGGCGTTCCAGGTGTCCATGGGCGACGCCGATTGCTTACCATCAGGTGATCCGTCTGCTCGTTTACCGGCTTATGCCATAAAAACAATCATAAACCTAACAAACCCATATATTTAAGGTTAAGACGGTACTGACTATATTTATTTAATAATTTATGTACACACAAACAGCACAGAGGACAACACATACATATATCTTATCTTATATCTTATACTCTTATATAAAGCGGAAGAGTTTGTTTTTTTATTTGTTTGTTTGAACGCGCTAATCTCCGTAACTACAAGTTTGATTTGAATAATTCTTTTTGTGTTAGATAGCGCATTTATCGAGGATGCCTATAGGTTATAAAACATCACGCTACGACCAATAGGAGCTGAGCAGAGCGTGTGAAACCGCGCGGAAGTAGCTAGTATAAAATAAGAGTACCTACAAAGGTGCTACATATTCCTGTTGGAATTTCTTCCAGTAGACCTGAGACAGGAAATGTAATGTAAAATATAAGACACAGCGTGTAACAGAAAAAAAAAGAAATATGTATAAAAAAAAAACTAAAAAAAATAACTGTAATATCAGTACAGTAAATATCCTGCTCTCTCGCCTCGTTGGCCGAGTGGTCGCAAGTGCGACTGCCGGGCAAAGGGTCTCGGGTTCGATTCCCGGGTCGGGCAAAGTATTACAGGGTTTTAAAAAAAAATCTCAGTAGTAGCACGGAGTCTGGAATTGTGCCCGGTATATGGCAATAGGCTCACCCCCTATTACATGGGACTCATAACATAAATAGTGAAAAGTGGGTGTTACATTGTACAGTGGCATAATGTGCACTTCTGCCTACCCCTTCGGGGATAAAAGGCGTGATGTTATGTTATGTTACGTAAATATCCTGCGTAACTCGTCTAGATGAGACTGATTGGAGATATGAAGATGTAGTTCTCACCTGACGCTTGCAGCTACATGGAAGATGACATTCACACGGTTGACTAGGAGAGCTCTGTCTTCTTGTGATAAACCTGGACACATATAAAAAATGTTAGGAGTATAACAGAATAAGAGTTAGTGGCCCGGAGGTTTAAGACGCCTGCTTATCATGCATGAGGGGTTTAAAACTTAACAACAGCAAGTACCAATGTGACTTTTTCCGAGTTCTATGTACTTTCTAAGCTTATTTAGACAGCACTGACAAACGGTGAAGGAAAACTTCGTGAGGAAATCTGGGCTTATAATTTCTAATTATAAGTTTGAAATCGCCAACACGCGTTAAGCAAGCGTGGTGGTTAATGCTCAAATCTTGTCCGTGTGAGAAGAGGCCTTTGGTCAGCAGTGGTTACTTTATAGGATGTTGATGTTGAGAACAGAATTTAAGATAATTTGAAGACAAAACCATGTTTTTAATATGAACAAGAAACATGCTTTTTTTAAGGGGTGAAAATCATCGAATGACTGCTCCCACCTGGATGAGGCGGTAGGGAGTGTCAGACTCTTACTAATTAAAAACCACCCCATTCCTTCTCCTGCACGTCGAGCCGGGCTCCGGTTACCCGTTAGGTTCTCCGCGACTCCGAATCGGAATCGGCCCTGTTGGGCCCCATCTGTGGTGGTCTGATGGTTCTTTGAGGCGCGCGCGGAACGCGAGGCGCCGTAGTCATATGATGGTTAGTGATCAGTGTCACCATCGATACAGGAGTACAATAGGGAAGAGATACAAGTTCGGTTATGGCCATTGTGACGTCAATGAAATGGCGAAATACAACGCAAGTTTGGCTTCTTCTCGGTACTCTTTAAAGCCGTGACATCACTTCGGTCGTTTTAATATATCGCGTTGCTAGTAAATATAATATTGGAATATCATAACTTACCCAGTCCAGGCTCCAAGACATCGCCAGAAACGATGAAGACTTTAGAATCGAAGACTCCTGGCCTCTTCTTTTTCAGACGATCGAAACACTAGAACAAACAAATGCGTGAAGATAGAAATCCTTTTAAAATAACTAACAACTAAAATAACTTTCGTTTTGTGAATATACTTGATGTCAAAAATAATTCTGTGGTGGGACGTTATAAAAAGGTGGGAAGTCGTATATAGGTAACACAAAAATGTATTTGCAAATTTATTGCAAAGTTATTACCCTATTGAAGGCTAGTTTCCTAAATTTTATTTAAATGCCCGTCTGATACATTCATTTCAAACTTTAGACACGTATTTTTTCTTTTCTCACAAAATTAAATACTTTCGACGATATATTAATTTCAAATATCGTGTGACGTCACAGCGTGCTACATTTTGTAGCACGTAATAGTAGTAGCGCTAATATTATTATAATTTTGTGTTATTAAATAATAATATAAACTAATAATTTGTATAAAAATAAATAAATATTTTTTAGTAAATATTAACTTAATTGAATATGAAAAAATTAATTAATAATGTATAATGATACTGCAGATATTTTAATGTTTAAGTGTAAATTTCAAAATTAATGAAATAATTCAGTCATAATATAAATTGTATATAATAGAAGATGTTTGCACGCCATGATAAATGGCTATACAATATAACACCCACTTTTCACTGTTGGTATTATGTTATGGAATAAACGGACATTGTGAAACAGGATCCTTATAGTTTTTGGGCGCATAGTAAGCAATCAGCATCATTCAAGACAAAGATAAGTATTAAATTAACTAAAATCGCGGGTTACTCACGTGAATATAGGTACTGAGAAAAGCTCTACTAGTTCATGAGCATGCTCATGAGGAAGAACCCCTCTGTGGTTCGAAACTAGTAGAGCTTTTCTCAGTATATTCACGTGAGTAACCCGCCATTTTAGTTAATTTTGTATGTCTCACGATAGTTATTGTAAAAACAAAGATAAGTATTAATTACTTACAGGAGTAGCATATAGCTGGGCGAGCCTATCTTCAGACTTCACTCCTTTCTTATTGCGCATAAGCAGATATATTCTGTCCAGTTCTGAGCAGGAGTAGAGAAGCTTCTCTATCAGGACCTTGCCGATGAAACCTGAAACCGAAATGTTGTTATTCCAAAAGGGGCAGTCACTAGGTAGATGATCAGGCTTTTCTTCAATTTCATCATTTTAACCTCTCGCGCGTTGTCGTACACACGGGTAAATATTTTAATAGGGAAGCGAATTAACTACATAATATAACATCACGCCTTTTATCCTCGAAGGGATAGGCAGAGGTGTACATTATTTATGCCACTGTACCATGTAACACCCACTTTTCACTATTTATGTTATGAGTCCCATGTAATAGGGGGTGAGCCTATTGCCATATACTGGGCACAATTCCAGACTCCGTGCTACTACTGAGAATTTTGTAAAAACCCAGTCATACTTTGCCCGACCCGGGAATCGAACCCGAGGCCCCTTGCCCGGCAGTCGCACTTGCGACCACTCGGCCAGTGAGGCAGTCCTGTGCGAATTAATTATTCTGTTCAATTAAATAAAGAACGGGTTGCAAACTTGAAAATATACGTCACAGAAAAAATATCTAATCGGTGCGCGTTTCTTGTACACCCGTGTGTACAATTGCGCGATGGGCACTCAACTCTCTCGTACACCCGTGTGTACGAGAAACACGCGAGAAGTTAACAGCCCGTAGGAGACCACTGCTAGATTATGAACCTCTGCGATTAGGTTTTTTGATCATCATTGTCAAAAGCCCATGACAATCCCCTGTTTGACTCCGTATGTATTCTGCACAAGATATCTTGTGCTTGCAAGTATGGGAGAGCCATGTTTCGGCTCGAAATGGAATGATACCACGGTATCACAGAAATAATTATTGCGTTCTGTTTCATCGTCTGTGGTTACCGGAGGCTCAATTCTTTTCATCATTTTCATCTCACTGATACGTTTTTGCAATAACTATCGTGAGGCATACTAAATTAACTAAAAATCGCGGGTTGCTCACGTGAATATACTGAGAAAAGCTCTATTAGTTTCGAACCACAGAGGGGCTCTTCGTCGCGAGGTTGCGGCGATGTCGCGCAGCCTGTAGAAACTAGTAGAGCTCTTCTCAATATATTCACGTAAGTAACACTTGATTTTAAGTTAATCTCACAAATATATTATTTAATCTGTGCTAGATTAAGGAATTGTTTTAAATGTAAAATGACGGTTACTCTGACATATTATTATCTAGAGGTATATTCCGTAAATCTCTAATATTGAATAAGATTTCCACATTCGAAAGATGTCGGTTAGTTCGCAATCATTATGAGTGATTACTATATTTGCACGCCATTTTATACGGCAAACATGTCTCGAACTTTTTTCACTATCCCGCTATCTTACATGCTATTGTTTATTGTATGTACCTACACATGTGTTTGAGCAAATAAATATGATTTGATTTGGATTTTTTTTTAAACTGTCAAACACCGAGCGGTCACCGGTGACCGCAACCTATTGTTCTTTAATTGTGTCTATAATGACGGTACTCAACGAGTTAAGGGGGTTAAATCATCGAATGACTGCGAGTGTCAGACTCTTACTGACTAAAAACCACCCCGTTCCTTCTCCTGCACGTCGAGCCGGAGCCCCGGTTACCCGTTAGTTTCTCCGCGACGATTTGGAATCAATAGGCATATTCTATTGGCAGTAATATATCGTAATGCCCACAACCTGCTCAGGGTGATACCATTCATGGTACATTACATACATGGTACATTGTACATGATACAAAATTTGGTTAAAACTCTGTGGTAAAAATTAGTAGATAAATTGACTCACCAGATCCTCCGGTGATAAAAATTGTCTTCCCCATATAGAACTCAGGGATGGTCGGCACCTCAGACAGATCCCTTTCTTCTAGAAAACCCATGGTGCTGGCAGACTAGAGTTTAGTATCTGGAAACAAAATACCAGTTTGTATATACAAAACCTTACCTACTAATCCTTATTCCTTACTTATATTATAAATCGGAAAGTGAGTTTGTTTGTTGGTTCCGCTTTCACGCCGTAACTACTAAACCGCTTTGAATTTTTGCAGACGTAAAGTTAGACGACTGGATTAAATAATAGGGTTTTTATCCCGGAAAAATTTATATTCTTGAGGGAAAACAAAAGTATTGGTATAGATGGCGCTGTGTGTATTGGTATATGTCACATAGGCTACTTTTCATCCTTTTGTGACGCGAGCGAAGCCGCGGGTGAAAGCTTGTTTAACATAAATAATAAAACTTAAATGACAGTTTTACAGTGCAAGGCGGTATTACAGTGGAGACCATGGAGCCAAACTAAACGCCTTCTAACATATCAGAGGGTGGGTACGTATCATTAATAATAGAGTACGCATTACGCTGCATTACAGCAAGTACGCATTACGCTGCATTATAGCAAATACGCATTACGCTGCATTACAGCAAGTACGCATTACGCTGCATTTGAACAAGTACGTATTACGCTGCATTTGAACAAGTACGTATTACACTGCATTACAGAAGGAATCTTGAAACCTAAACAAATGTCCCGGTTTATGATAATTAAACGAATGTCCCGGAATGTTTAAATAAAAAAATAAAGAATCACTTTAGTTATGACTCCCATGTAATGGGGGCTGAGTCATAGAATGTATATGATTTAAAAACCAAATAAATTTACATGTAAATAGTAACCTAATGTTATATCGAAACATTACAATGTAAATATTTCATACAAAACTAAGGTCATGAACATAATAATATACCTAGGCAATATTATGTTAATTCTGTATTGTGTTTAATATTCATTCATTATGTATTTTAAACCTTTCGTCTACTAGATGACTTAGTGAACTTCATATAATTTATGTATACATTGTACAAAGACTCAAAGTGAATATTACATAGGTACATAACATTATTTCTAAAAAAAATATTATTTGGGATCATAACATAACATATAACATCATTCCTTTTATCTCCGAAGAGGTAGGCATAGGTAGGTAGTGCAGATTATACCACTGTACAATGTAACACCCAGTTTTCACTATTTATGTTATGAGTCCCATGCAATAGGGGGTGAGCCTATTGCCATATACCGGGCACAATTCCAGACTCCGTGGTACTACTGAGATTTTTTTTAAACCCAGTAATACTTTGCCCGACCCGGGAATCGAACCCGAGACCCCTTGCCCGGCAGTTGCACTTGCGACCACTTGGCCAACGAGGCAGGAATAATTTGGGATCCTCTTCTAGTATTTCGTCAGAACCAATACAGCACGATCTATTGTAATTATGTAGCAACAGTTATCATTCTCTTATACAAACTACGTTTAAAAAAACGACTTCAACCCCCCTTCTTTGAAGTCGACTAATTGGGTACTTGCCGACTAGTCAAATTCAATACTTTTTTCGAACTGTCAAAAACGACAGTTTTCTATGAATTTGGTACGAGATTGTGTATTGTGACGTCACGTTTTTTAGCGTCAAACAACGTACGCATTTCTTAAAAAAATGCTGAAAAATTACTAATAATTAAGTTGGTCATAAAATCAATTATTGAAGGTGTGATTATTTATTTACATTTTATTGTATTGAACAGTCGAAATAATTAACTTTTGATTACGGCAAGTAACCAATTGTTATATCCGTGCTTGTTAGGTGTTCGATGACCACAAAACTTCTGGCCCACCACATATATTAAATACTAGCTTTTACCCGCGGCTTCGCTCACGTTACAAAAGGATAAAAAGTAGCCTATGTGATATATACCAATACACACAGTGCCATCTATACCAATAGTTTTGTTTTCCCTCGAGAATATCAATTTCTTCCGGGATAAAAAGAACCCTATTATTTAATCCGGACTTCTAACTTTACGTCTGAAAAATTTCAAAGAAATCAGTTTAGTAGTTACGGCGTGAAAGCGGAACAAACAAACAAACTCACTTTCCGATTTATAATATTAGTAAGGATTTAGAAACATGTGTCACTGTAAAATTAAAAAAAATCTCTTTTGTAGTACGGAGTCTTGAATGGTGCCCGGTATATGGCAACTTCCTATTACATGGGACTCATCACATAAATAGTGAAAAGTGGGTATTACTTCTGTGTGCGCCTCTGCCTACCCCTCCGGGGGTAAAAGGTTTGATGTGATGTTATGTATGTGTATAATATTATTATACTACGTGTGGGAAAGCCATGCTTCGGCACGAATGGGCCGGCTCGACCGGAGTGATACCACGGCCTCACAGAAAACTGACGTGAAGCAACGCTTGCGTTGTGTTTCGTCGTCTAAGTGAGGTTACCGGAAGCCCAATTACCCTCCCCCTCCCCAATCTCCCCAATTCCTGAATCCCCAACGATCATTAAACTCCTAATCCCCAAAAGGCCGGTAACGCACTTGCAACGCCTCTGGTGTTCCAGGTGTCCATGGGCGACGCCGATTGCTTACCATCAGGTGATCCGTATGCTTGTTTACCGGCTTATGCCATAAAAAAACTGATTGTTATATAGGTCATTTGGTACAAGCACTAGTACTTCCTTACTATAATAATATTATAAATCGGAAAGTGAGTTTGTTTTGTTCCGCTTTCACGCCGTAACTACTAAACCGATTGCTTTGATTTTTTGCAGACGTAAAGTTAGAAGTCTGGATTAAATAATATAGGAGGAAAAACTAAATTATTGGTATAGATGGCGCTGTGTTGATATATGTCACATTGGCTACTTTTTATCCTTTTGTGACGCGAGCGAAGCCGCGGGTAAAAGCTAGTAAATAATAATTTAAATAATGTTACTTACAATGTAAAATGTTCTTTTCAGTCGATTAAAAGTAGACATTTAAATAAAAACTAAATTAGATTTGAATATAATCGGTGCAAAAGGTTATTGGGTTATGTTTTCTCATGTATAAGTACCACGTGTCAAATAGTTAATTTGTTTTTTTAATAGCCTATTAACGAAGTGTGATCTATTTTTGTTTGTAACTGTATAAGGTACGGTAACTTTTTTTTAAACTGACTTCAAAAAAAGGAGGTTATCATTCGATTTCAATTATGTTATGAGTCCCTTTAAATAAGTAGTTTTGCAAATCTATAAACATATTACAAAAGAAATCCAATTGTTTGAGATTTTAGAAAAACGAAAATATTAAAAATACTTATAATTGGGATGATGACAGGGTATGAAAATTAAAAATCTAATTAGTCCGTAAGTTAGGTAATGAACTTAGGTATTTTTTTATTTTGTCGTATAATAAAACAATACTTAGATAAAACGAATCAAAGTTTAGGAGTGGGGCCCAAAACATCATTTCTACGTATAAAATGTACATAGAAGTGACGTCACGCGACATTTCAAATCAATATATCTTCGAAACTATTTTGTTTCTGTAAGAAAATAAAATATACGTGTCTAATGAATGATTTAAAATAATGTGGATTAAAATAATGGACATTAAAATAAAAATTAGGCATCTACCATATTATGTATAGGGGCACCATGACCTATAACTAAAATTATTGTACTTTGCTCAACTTGAAAACTGAACTCATAATTCCATATTTAGAAAATATAAAAAATATAAGATAAGTAGGTACTCACATTCGTAACACCAAACCAAAATAAACCAACTATTTAGAACCACAAGATTCAAAATACTAATTTTCCAAAAATATATAAATCCAAAATCACTTTCACTGCACAAAGATCCACCCACGAATGAACAGAATATAGTTTATCAACTAGAAAGTCGTTTAAACCACCACAAACGTACAAATGCGGACGGACAAAATCGGAACTAAATCACTTCTAGAACAAAATACAGGACAAAAGGTCCTTTAAAGCGATAACAGCGCCGCGCTCAAGTGCACTGTTAAGTTGGTTCGGGTAGTTTTTTAAATGCTTTTTATATAAATTTGAAATTTAAATTATTTGTCCCGGTTGTATGGGTTTGGGGGCAAAAGTTAAGGTTTTAATTAATATGTCGGCGGTTGTATGTAACGGGGTGTTAAGGGGAAGACTACTATCGACATTGTCATTACTATTCATAGCCACAATAAATACAAAAAATGAAATTATTCTTCATAGAATACTGCCTTGTTGGCCGAGTGATCGCAAGTGCGAATGCCAGACAGACAAACCCAGTCTCGGGTTCAATTTCTGGGTAGGGCAAAGCATTACTGGGTTTTTTAAAATTCTTACGAAGTCTGGAGTTGTGCCTGGTATTGACAATGGGCTCAGGTTCACCCCCTATTACTTATAACATAGAAAGCGAAAAGTGGGTGTTACACTGTACAGTGGCATTAAGTGCCCTAATGTACACCTCTGCCTACCCCATCGGGGATACAACTCATTATCACTGATTTATTTCCGGGATTCAAGACAGTTTTATTCATGTCCCTGGGACGCGCCAGCCTTCGGTGTTTGAAGATCCTGGTGCCTGGTGGTTCGTTTATTTCGGTCGTCGGTTTACAAATCAAGGTGTGAACCTAATGGAACAGTAATCATATATCCAGCGTTACACTGCGCCTTAACATACAATTGATATTGTAAGCAAAGGTGCAAGCAATGCTTTCTATATTCATGAGATGTAACAGGGTATTGCGTTTAACTAGACCTGTTCTTCGGTTTTCCCTGTATATAATTTAAGTATGGGAGAGCCATGCTTCGGCACGAATGGGCCGGCTCAACCGAAGTGATACCACGGCCGAGCAGAAAACCAACGTGAAACAACGCTTGCGTTGTGTTTCGTCGTGTAAGTGAGGTTACCGGAGGCCCAATTACCCTCCCCTTCCCCAATCTCCCCAATCCCTGAATCCCCAACGATTCTCAAACTTCTAATCCCTAAAAGGCCGGTAACGCACTTGTAACGCTTTTGGTGTTCCAGGTGTCCATGGGC